ATTCTTTAACCAAGCAATGATCACTAGCAAATTCAAATTCTTTAACCAAGCAATGATCAATAACAAATCCAAATTCACTAACACCGAATTAAATTAGGATTAGCATTGTTGTTCGAATATCAAGAATGAATAACTTGTAACGTACTATATGACCAATAATAAATGTGAGCCTGACTCATTAAGACAATGTTTATGATGCTTGTGCTTCCTTTACTGTTCTGCCTAATACATGTTGATTTAGTTTTAATTTACTCAATTAAATGTGTTTTATTTTAATTGTTTGTTACTCAAAATGAAAAAAAACCGTAAGGTTATTACGATCGAAACAAAAAAAAAGATCGTACAAAATTATGAGAATGGATCCAAAATTGCGGATCTTGCCCGAACCTATGATCTAAACCCTTCAACAATATCAACTATTCTAAAAAGGAAAGAAGATATTTCGAAATGCGATACACCGGGCGTGTGTTCACGAATCAATTTGCGAAGTTCAAATCTGGATCTAACCGAAAATCTTTTACAGTTATGGATTAAACAAAAACGAATGAACGGTGATTCTTTATCACAATCATTGATATGCGCGAAGGCCAGACGCATTTTTGATGATGTCAAAGCCAAAAATGATTCCAGCAATATTGACGAAGTATTCAAAGCCAGCAATGGTTGGTTTTCCAATTTCAAGAAACGCTCCGGTATTCATTCAATTTTATGTCATGGGGAAGCTGCGAGTGCCGATAAAGACTCAGCTGACAAATTTATTGAAGATTTTGAACAATTGATACGTGAAGAAAAAGTTGGGCCGAATCAGATATTTAACTGTGATGAAACCGGGTTATTCTGGCGTCAATTAACAAAACGAACATTTGTAACCAGAGAAGAGACCATTGTTCATGGTCACAAACAATTAAAAGATAGGTTAACTTTGTTATTATGCTCAAATGCGAGCGGCGATTTCAAGGTAAATAACTCGTCCAATCGAATTTCTAATGATTTATAATTTTCATGTCATAGGTAAAACCCATGTTGATGTATCATTCCAAAAAACCTAGAGCCCTGAAAAAGATGAAAATTCAAAAAAGTGATTTGGATATTTATTGGCGTAGCAACAAAAAGTCTTGGGTGACGCGAGTTGATTTTATATCGTGGATTGTTAACATTTTCGGTCCATCCGTCGAGGAATATTTAACAATGAAAAATTTGCCGAAAAAAGTGCTTCTGTTAGTTGATAATGCTCCCGGGCATCCGAAAAATATTCAAGAAGAATTGAATAATGAATTCAATTTCATTAAATTCGTTTTTTTGCCTCCCAATACTACATCTTTGATTCAGCCTATGGACCAGATGGTAATTTCAAATTTTAAGAAAACTTATCTGAAACTCTTATTCGAAAAGTGTTTTGAGACATGCGATACGATGTCAGTAAGTTTAAAAACTTTTTGGTCTGACCATTTTAATATCGTTATCGCGATAAAGCTGATAATCAAATCGTGGGATGAAATAACCAGTAATTGCCTCAAGGCTGCTTGGGGGCCATTATGTCCATATTTTAACAATGATTCAGTTATAGAAACAAACAAAGTAATGGATGATATCATGAGTAATGCCAAGAAATTAAATTTGGAGATTAATCAAGATGATGTTCAAGAATTTATTGATGATGAGAATGAATTCTCAACAGATGAATTGCAAGAAATGTTCACCGAAGAAACAAATGAAATTACACAATCGGATTCAGAAAATGATGAGGGGGAAGAAGATTTATCAACGAATGAAATCAAACACATTTTATCAAATTGGCGTTACATAAAAGATTGTTTGAAGAAATGGAAAGCCAATGACTATGATTTCATCTTGTTTATGGAACAATTTGAAGATAAGTCTATTGTCCAACTAAACAATTTATTACGAAAACGTCAGCATCAATCAACAATTGACATGTTTTTCAAAAAACAGAAAATTGAATAAAATAATATAATTTTTTTTTGAATTGAAAAAAAATTGATGCGTATTTTTCAGTTAGTGAATTTGGATTTGCTAATGTTCATTGCTTGGTTAGTGCTTGGTTGGATTCGTTCAACCAAAAAGAATCATTTTCGGCTAGCGATTATTATATTTGGAACTTGTAATTTTCATGAAATTTTTTGATTAAACATCAATTCTCATAAGTAAAATGTTGTCTTTGTTGAAAAAATCAAATATTCATAATTAATTATACGCAANGCGTTGGCGCAGGATTATCATGATCCAATCATGATGTTGTTGTTTTTTGTTGTTGTTGTTTTTCACATTATGTAGATTATTATTACGGGAAAATTTCGTGATCAAAACAGACAGGCTATTAATTCTTTGGATCAATAATTTTTTTTTTTTTTTTGTTGAAATGAATTGAAAAACAGCAGCTTTATTTAATCACAGCAACAACAGCAAAAATTTATTGTTTTTTCGTTGATAAACGGAAATCGATTATTCGACAAAAAAAAATCGATTAATTTTTTTTTGTCTATAGAAAGGGTTAATCGCAATTTTTGTTTAAAATGTTAAATTCATTTTCTCTGCATTTTTCACTTGATTATTCAGCCACCTGGTGTTGATTTTTTCGATTAAAATTGACGGAAAAAAAACCTTTCGAAAACCTGTAAAAACAAACTACTTATCAAATTTTGATAATTTATTTAAGTTTAATAATAACATACCTTTTCCTAGATCAAATCAAATCAAACAACAACAACAAATTATTTATCATTCATTTTCGGAAATGATAAACATTTGTTGCATTGCAAGAGAAGTGATAAAAGATGAAAAAAAATGTTTTATTTTTGGTAAACCAGAAACAGAAAAAAAAACGTTATTTATTTTTATTTATTTTAGAAACAAGATTTTCATTTTTTTGCCACTTTAAAATCCATAAATCATTGATTGATAATTATGATTAATTTGATAAAACTAATGTTTATGATCTGATCTCAATTTCCGGATTTTTCTGTTTCTGGATCTTTTTTTTGTTTAATTCAATTAAAACCAAAAGGGAACAAATTTTCATTCATAACATTTTACTACTGTCTTATTGTCATTGTTGAATGGAAAAATCTCTTTCTTTGTTTGTTTGGTTTAACCATTAATTCATTCAACAAATCAACAACAAGACACACCTGATGATAATCAAGCTTTTTTGTTGTCTTTGTTTGCTTTTTCATTTTGCTCTCGTTTTATTCGATCGATTACAAATTATTTATGCGAATCGAATAATAAACAGGAACACAAAAAATATTGACATTGTATCCGATGATTATCATCATCTAAAAAAAATTTTTAATTCGAGGTTAAAAATTTACATTTTTTTTTTTTTTTGAATGAAAATAAAACAATATAAAACAAATAGAAGAAGAAAGGAAAAAATACTTTATAAAAACAAAAGAATATTTTCAAGAAAACAAAAAGTAAATAGAAAAAAATTATCTTTGACAAATAACATCATCATCATCATCATCTTCATTTGTAATTGTATTACCGTCTTGTTGACATTCAATAATTGTAAATTCTTCATTATTATTATGATGATTTTGTAAATTTGTTTCCAATTTCCATAATGAACAATAACGTGGTAGAATTTCTTGCATTTCAATATAATTTGGTTGTTGTGATAAACCATTATTGCTATTATCATCATTCATAACTTCATCATATGTTGGTGGTTTATCCATTTTCAGAAATGATATCATTGAATTTGATCTTGATGATGATGATCGTCGTCGTCGTTGTTGATCAAGTAAACTAAATAATGTATGATTATTATCATTATTTGATGATTGATTATGATGACGATGATGACGACGATTATGATAATGAAAATTTTTAACAATAGCAACACAACAATAAAAACACCAATATATTAATGTTAATACAAAAATCGATGCAAATAAACCACCAATTACTTTACATGTTAGATCACAACTTGGCCGTCGTAATAATAATTTCATACAAATATGTGTTTCACGATGCATTGCATAACCATATGGACATTCACAAACAGTATTATTACAGATAAGATTTGTATTTCGACCATTATTACCATTATTATCATGACAATCATCATCAGTATCGCATAGTTTTCGTAAACATTTACCAATTTTCATTGCATCATTCCATTTATCTGTATTATCTAAACCAATAATATCAACATTATCGGCAGCAATTTGTATTAATTCTTTTGTTATTAATTGTAATGATGATACAGCACTATTATTTTCAGCATTTGATAATGAAAATTCTTTATCTTCCCAGAATTGAAATTCTGGCCAACATTGACATTTACGTTCAAAACAATAACTATATTCAGCTGGGCAATCTAATTTTTCCGATTTTTTCTGACAACTTGTATCCAAACGAAAATATTGTGGCCGTCTGGATAATATCGTTGATGTTGATGATGATGATGATATCTTTTTACCATTGCCATTTCCACTATTCGAAGTCAATTTTGCTCGATTATTGGATTTTGATTTTATTCCAGAATATGGATATTGTATCTATCGAATGGAAGAATAGTAAGAATTTTTCACCTAAAAAAATCAAATTTTTAAATTTACCTTTATACAATATTTAGTTTTAGCATTTAAATAATAACCACGTTTACAACGACAACGACCCCATTGTTCATCACAAATAACATTTTGATCAATATCTTGACATTCATCATTATTTTTACATGCAACAGCTTGTTCATATAATATACACATTCCTTTTGAATTGGTTGGTATTGGTTTACGAAAATGAAAATAAACACGTCCTAATGGACATGAACATTTTCTATTATGACAAATTAAATCTGAATCACAATCGGATGAATTTGTACATGGTTGTCGATGATAACTGATCATTTTTTTTGTTGTTGTTGTTGATGATAATGTCATTGGTGATGTTGCAGTTAAAGAATTTGTCAAATTCAATAAAGATTTTGTTGATGATAATGGCGAAGATGATGATAAATAATGTAAATGATTTTTATGATTATAATCAATTTGTAATGTATCATCATTATCATCATTATTGATCATATTATTAGCAAATGAAATATTTATAAAAATAATAATAACGATGATTAAAATGAAAATAATATTAATAAAATGATGATTTGTAATTTTAAATTGAATAAAATGATTCATGACTTTTTTTGATTTAGTGGTCATCATCATCTGTTGTTTGATGATCTGTTACCGATCTACCGATCTACTGAAGTTCCGTTTAATTGTTAATAATGATGTGATGAATAATAATGAAAAAGATGATTTTCTTGTGTAATTAAAAAGAAAAAAGATTCTTCAATGTCGCCCCAAAGTCAATAAAAAAATTTTTTGGGATAATGATGATGATGATTGAACGTCGACGTTATTGAATTTTGTTATTGATCGTTTTATTTCGATTATTAAAGTGGTAAACAATATTATTTTCTTGTTTTCCGATTACAAAACAATATTAATAATCACAGTAAAGAAAAAAGAAAATCTTCATCAACGAAAACAACAACGACAAAAAAAAACTGATATGATATGAACCGATTCAATTGGGTGATTTGGATGAAAACATTTCGCTTTTTGGGGGAAATTTGTATACATTTTTTTGAAGAAAATTGATTTGCAAAAACTGAAGATTTCATTCATTTAATGATTTTTTGGCAAAACCAAAACTGTTTTTTTCTGGGTTTTTGTTGTTATCAAATATCACACTATTATCAATTAAGAAAGTTTCGTTTAGTTCATAATTGATAACATCGAACGTTCTGATTTTTTTTTTGTGGTGTGCAATTACCAATATTTAATATTGGTAGATAGAAAAAAACCCCTCGTTTTTTTCATTCAGATATCTTCATTCAAGTATATTTCTTTCTTTTTTCTCATATCATTTATTTTTTCTTCGTGTGATTCGATTCGATAATGTATCCCATGTTTAATAATTAGACAAAAACAACAACAACAACAAACATCATGGTGGTTGATAATTCTACCCCCCAAAAAAAGAAAAGAAAAAGCCATATAATTATCGAATTATTTTCAAAGAAAAAATTTTCATACCTTTTTTCGATTAAGATTTTTCCAGGTTATAATAAAATTAGGCATCAAACCAAATACAATTACAAAAATCAATGAAAATTTTGATAACATTTTTTTTGGTTATTATCAGACTTTTTTTTATTATAAGAATATTATGAAGATCAACAACCAATAAAAAAAACAGAAAAGTAAACGAAGATAACAATTTTGATCTTCTTAATACAAATGTTGCTATGCATTTGTGTGAATCATCAGAGCAACAATCAAAACAAACCAAACAAATACCTTTACACTACTATTATGAATGGCTCCATGTTAAATTAACCTGATATATATATTGATTATATGGATTATTGAGTAAGGAATTTGAGTTTTTTTTAATTTAATTAAATTAAATTAATTAAAAACAAGATACTTTAATGTAATTAGTGTGATTAGAAAAAAAAATTTTAAAAGTCAGTTTTTTCCGTATTTTTTGTTTTTGTTTTTAAAATGTACTGAGTCAAAAAAAAAAATTTCGAAAGAAGAATCGATTATTGATCATTATCGATTGTTTTTGTTTGTTGGTTGGTTGGTTGTGGTTTAAAAAGAAAAAAAACTGTTTCCAAATCATCATTATCATTTTTCATTCCAGAAATTTTTTTTAAAAATAAAAATTCCTTAAAAAAATCGATTTGAAAATGGAAGAAAATTTTCTGAGTTGCCAAAATCATTTTCAAAAGAAAAAAAATTCCTATGAAAAATTCAAAGATGACGTTCAAAAAAATGAATGAAAAGTAAATCCATTGAATGAGCGAAAAGAAGCATCTTTAAAACGAAAAGAAATTGAAAAAAAATCAGGATTTTTCATTGAAAGAAATCAAACAGAAATAGAGATAAATCTTTCCCAAAAGTCATTTTCAAAGGATAAGATTTTTGATTCGAATTTGTTTACAACTGCTGGCGTGAATTCGATTTGCATCTGCGCATTTGCTGCTAACTCTTTTTCTTTTTGTTAAATCAGAGTCGGCGTCATTCGAATTTCAGAGAGAACCAAAATGATCAAAAAAATAAAAAAATTCCAAAAATGGTACACAATCAAACGTCAAACTGGTTCATTTGGATTCCGCATTCGACGGATCCAAATAAACTAACCAAAAAAATTGTTCCTATTTTCTATGTGCGAAACTTTTTTGAGTGGAAAAAAACTTTTCTTTTTTTCGATTTTCGTTGAAAAATTTCATTCAAATTTTCACTTTTTAAATGTAAAAAAAACTTTGTGATTTTTTCGGTGTTTTCGATCATAATCTCAACTGCAACAAAAAAAAACTTTAAAACTTTTTTCCTGAGAAACCGATATCGATTACATCATTTATTTTGCATCATCAGCATCGTTTTTTTTCTGGTACGTCATTTCGGTGTAATTAATTGTTTTTGTTTGATGCGGTTACTACATTTCTTTTTTGTTTAATCAATGATTATTTACCTTTTGTAATTTCAAATGAGTAAGACGTCAATTACCAACATGTGACATATAAGATTAATAATAAATCTTTGTTTTCTTGACAAAAGATACGTTACTAGCATACGTTTTCAATGTCATTTGAGAGTGATTGATTGATTAAAGTGAAAAGAATTTCGATTCTCTTCATTGATTTGATTTGATTATAAAATTTGTAATTTTATTATTATTATTATTTTTTTTTTTTTGACTAACAATGTTTGCAATCAAACCTGATATCATAAAGAATCCTGTTTTATTAATTTCCCTCGAATCATAAGTTAAAATCATGATCATGACTCATAGTCAATATGAAAATGTCATTACATAATTGTGATTAGAAAGTGGTGGTGTGTTTTTTTTTTTAGAATCACCACCACTGACAAACCGAGAACAACATTGTTGTCCAAGTTGGGACTCCAAAATTTTTTTTTTCGGGTTTCTGGGTCACATTTCATTAAAATCCTTGAAATTGTTTCTTTTGAATATTTTTTTCTCTGGTTAAGTTTGTCCAGTCAGTCAGTCAGTCACTCTGATCATTTGGATAATTTTGGTTGTTTACATCATTAAATTTGGGGATCAAAACATATAAAAAAATAATACAAGAGAACCAAGCGAAAACAACAAAGGAAAACAACAAAATCGAGTTTACAAAAAAATTATCCATTATGATAATGATTATGGTGGTAGTAAAAATGTTTTGTTGTTGTTGTTGCATTTTTTCTCTCGGTTCGGTTTTCGGTTGTTGGATTCTCGAAACATTGTCACCAATTTCTATTGTGAACCAGTGAATTTTTCATTGACCATAATAAAAAAAAGAAAAAACATTAATTTTTGGCTTAGTTCGGTTGTAAACAAACAGCAGCCCAACAGCCAGCCAAATTGTTTAACCCGAAATAATAATAAAAAACATTGAAAAAAAAAACATTTTCGGTCGTTCGGTTGCCTGTGTCTGTTTGAAACATTGTTGACATTGAAATGAATTTATTTTGGAAGACAAATTGATTGATTGATTGATCAATGGATGTTTTTTTCGGTTTGGCTAGCCAAATTCTGGTAATAGGCTTTTGGTTTTTGACAAACAACAAACATTTGTCATTTGAGTGAAACGCACACAAATGGAAAATTCCGAAATGAATCCATCATTTATTTTCAATTTTCATTCAGCATTTCTTCTTTTGAAAATTTTATTTTTTACAGAGAAAAAAAACCATTTGCGAGCTGTGATTGACACATTTTGATGGAAGAATATATATCGATGACGTCAAAAAATCAATCAAATTGATCGAAGAAAAAAAAACAGATTGTTTATCAATGTGATTCAATGTGAAACAAGCCAACAAAATCTTCTCATCATTATCACCAAAACACACGAAAAATGTTTTCTTCAAAATTAATCCGATCAAAAAATAAAGCAAAAAAGCAACCATCATCAACGCCATCACCACAATCAATATCATCAAAACGTTCTTCATTATCATCATTATCATCATCATCATCATCGAAGAAAGCGACATTTGGTCGCATTTCAATTGTTGGTGATATTATTGGTGGCGGTGGTCGAACGAATATTATCAAATTAAATAGACAACAGCAACGACGAATAGATAATCAAAATGACGTAAGCAATGTTGATAATCGATCAATCGATTATAATAACGATGATGATAATAATGATGCGGATAATCAATCAAATATTACAATTAGAAATATGGATAATAACCATCATCATCGTTCAAGTTCCGGTAAGTTTTTTTTAAAAAAACAAATTGGTTGCACTTGAAAAAAACTTGACAATTTTAGTTTGTTTTTAGAGGGGAAAAAGTGTTTCCTTTTTTCCACCAAATATCTCTTTTCCTCAATTTCGTTTGTTTGTTTTTTAGTAACCAAAAACAAACATTTTTTTGTTTTGTTTTCGTAATTAATTTATGATGTTCTCATGCATTCACTTAAAAAAAACCTGATGACTTCTAACGTGACATTTTTTTCTCGAAATGTCTTCATCAAATTATAAATGATTTTTTTTAGCGAATAATTTGACGATTATGCAAATTTTTTTTTACTTTTTTTTTGACGTTTTCGAAATCATTTTTCTTCCATTCATTTTAAAGAATGAACACAGTGGTACCCATTTGATTCATCAATGCGAAATATTGATTGATTGATTGATTGATGTTCAGATTTGTTCTACAAAGAAGCAAACAAACTAAGCAAATTTTGTTTTTTGTCACTCAACAAAAAACAAACAAAAAATTTTCATTGTCAAGGATAATTCATCATCAGTTGATTTTTTCCTCGATACATACACAAACACACACACACTGGTCATATAACGTCTATATATTTTTCCTCCAAAAAAAAAAATTCAATCGCAAAAAAATACCGTTTTTTTCCTCGTGGTTCTTGTTGGTTGGTGATCATTATCAGGATTGTTGTTGTTGTTTTTGATTGATTGATTGATTGATTGATTTTTATCGAAACAAATCAGATGATTTTGCCATTATTCACAAAAATTCCAATCAAACAATGAATTGGATTGGATTGGTAAAAAAAATTGGATTATTTTGTTTTCTGCTTGTTTTCAATAGTTTCATTGTTTAACAAAAAACAGAAACAAAAAAACTTTGCACCTAATGATTCCAATCATATTCATATCTGTCATTCATTCAATTATTATCGATCATATATTTAACACGATTTTAAATGATGTTCGTTTAAAATCATGTGATATAATCACCAATGTGATTTTACATTGGTGATTAGGTACAAATTTTCTGTCTCTGTCTCTCTCTCTCTCCCTATCTCTTTATCGATAATTAGTCAATACGATTAATCACCCGAAAAAAAAATCAATGAAAGAAAGAAAAATTGATGTTTAAGGAAATACCATCATCATCACTATCGTCATCGTCGACTATTTTGACAAAATCTGATATAAGATTTTCTCTCTCTCTCTCTCTCATCCTTGACAATGAATAAATTCATCCAAAAAAAATTTTTTTTTTCGATAACTAAATCAATCGAATGATATGATTCGATCATAAAGAAACTACATTGTCTAAACAATGAAAAAACTAAAGATATAAAGATGGTTCAAATGAAAAAGTTTCAACGAAAAAAAAAATGAATTTTCGCATCCATTTGTTGATTGATTGATTTTTCCTCTTATTTCATCGTCACTAATAATAGTTATACAACAACAACAGCAGAAAATTTACATAAATTTTAAAAGTTTTTCTTTTTTTTGACTAATGTGAATATGCAATAACGAACAACAAGTAAAAAAAAGGATGTAATATTTGTCATCAATCTTTTTTTGTTGTTGTTGTTGGTAAAAGGAAGAATATCCTATGCTAGTCGTCATCATCATCATAATATCATTACTTTTCCTTTCATATCACCAGATAAATTATCATATTTGAAAAAAGTGTTTGTTTTCGTTAGTTCGTTTTGTTTTGGCTAAATTCTTTCAACAATAATTTCAATCAATCAAATTCGTTTAGATTTTGTCCAAAAAAATCGTTGTTTTTTTTTTGGGTAATCGTCGTCATTATCATCATAATACACCCAAACACACTAAAAAACAAACAGTAATTATCATCATTTACAAATGACAAAAAAACAAAACAAAAGGATATTTTTCTCTGGATTTGTTTTGTTTGTTTTTTGCCATAAAAACAGCAGCAATTGGTTTTTTTCGATTGAATAATTAGAAAGTGAAAGAATTCGACTGAAATTTTTGTCTGCACTTCAATAAAAATGACATTCGCATTATTTCAATCAGTTTTTTGTTTGATTATTGAAATTCTGTGTTAAAAATATTTCAAGTGACATTTTGAAAAGGGGAAAAAAAATTTTTTTTCCGAACGAGAAACAATATGGCCCGAATACGACATGATTATTATGAAATGAATCCATTTTATCGTGTAATATTACCACGTTGGAAACAATATCGTTTTCGTTTTCTATCACCAAGATTATTTTGCATGTTTGCTATTGTTTATATACCATTGTTTCCATTTTCAACATTTTTTTGGATATGCATTTCCATTCCGATTCTGTATTTTATTTATCAGAATAATTCTTTTTTTATAGATCGTTGTGATCAATTATTGTTTGGTGTTGAATCGACAACCAATATTGCCGATTCAAATCCTAATGATAATGAATTATCCAATATGACGACGATAACAGCAAACCAACAACAACAACCTGCATCAACAGCAATGGTAAAGCGAAGAAAATCAACAAAAAAATCCAGGAAAATGATCATGTTAAAAAAATCAAAAGAATTATCCAATTTGGATATGAAAACAAGTGATGATGATGATGATGGAGTTTCGAAGCAGCAAAAAATTCGCCAAAATAAACCAACAGCGAAATATTCTTTGAAAACCAATGATAATGATGGTGAAGATGAAGAGCTAAATAGATCTGGTGGTGGCTGTTCATCTGGCGGTACATCATCATCAGCAAGTCCATTTCATCGCCATTCATCAAAAACATCATCCTTTTCAAAATCAAGTTTAAAACAATTTTTATTTCCATTTAAACGTCGTCAACCTATAATGACAAGTGATTGTGATACACAACAAAGTGATTATGATTTAATGGATGATAATTCTAATCAACCAAAACGATTAAAATCCGAAAAGAAAATCAAAAATAATAAACAGCAAAGAAATTTACGTAGTACAGCAAGTATGAAATTATCACCATTTTGGCGACCAAAAAAATTACAATCATCATTATTGATTGATTCGGAAATTGGACAAACAGCGAATTCACGTCGTGCAATATCGATACCAAATCTTTGTGCTATAAATTCAATGGCAAAAGAAGAAGAAGATGAACAAATGATGAGTGAACCAATCAATCAAACAAACAAAATAATGTCCACGAATCAGGAACCGTATACACAAACCGAAGATGATGATGATAATGATATTGGTGGTGGTGGTGGTAGTAGTGATGGTGGTAATCATTTTAAATATCGATCAAAAATGGCTTCTTCATCCGCTCCATCATTACCTAAAATGGAAACAAAAAAAATGTCACGTCTTAAACGGATAAAACGTGATATGCATCGTATGTGTTTACAACGAAATCAACAACAAAAATTTCATAATGAAATGATTCAAAGTGACGATTCTTGTATTGATTCAGAAAAATCATTACTATTAAGTAAACAGCCAAATAATAAACTAATGTTTGATTCGATAAACAATGATAATTCTATTGAATCGAACAATAATAAAAACGACCAACCAATGGCACCAATAGCCATTATGAATGAACAAAATGATGAACCAATTATGATGTCAATCGACGATAATCAGGATAATCAGGATAATAATCAACAACAACAACAACAACAAATTGCTTTAGCTAAACCAAAAATTCGTATACTTAAAACAAAAAAATCAAATCAAACATCAATGAATAATAATATTGAACAATCAAGTGATAATGGTGTTGGTGGTAATGATAGTGGTAATAATAGTGATGAAATGTCATCAACAACAATAACGGAAATGAATGTTAAAAATTGTTTATCAGAAACGGATGATACAACAACAACAACATTGCTGACGAAAGCACAAAATTGTGTAAGTTTTACAAGTGGAAATTTGTTTAAAATTTTTTTAAAAAAATTTCTTTAAAATCTTTAAAAAAAATTTTCTAGAATAATGATACAATGCGTCTGCAACGAATACATCGTTTATTACAATATCCATTCTTTCAGATTGATATACATTTAAAATATGGTGATAGTTTATTAGCAAAAGATTCATGCGGTACAAGTGATCCATATGTAAAATTTATGTTGGCAAATAAAATTGTTTATAAAAGTCAGATAAAATATAAAACATTAAATCCAAATTGGGATGAATATTTTGTACTGCCAGTGGATAATATTTGTGAACCATTAATATTGAAAGTATTTGATTATGATTTATTTTTTATGGATGATTATCTTGGTACTGCATCCATTGATCTAACTAAATTGGAACCTGGAATGTAAGTATAGCATGTTTTTTTCTAATTTTTTCCCAAAACAAAAAACTTTTTTCATGTACACAGAACAACAGATCTTGAACTATGTCTTCATGATAGTAATTCAAATGGAAAAGATCAAAAATTATCCAATCAATCACCTTGGGGTAAAATATTATTATCGATTCGTTTGAATCCAAAAACTAGAGAAGAACGTGATTATTATTATAATGGACGTGGAAAATGGACAACAATATCATCGGCTGATGGACAAACAAATAAACGTATAAAATCACAGCTATATGATTCAATTGTATCGATTGTATTGATAAAAGGTGATGAAATTGATTTGGATCGTGATTATTGTATACGAATGAAATTAGGTGCAGAAAAATATAAAAGTAAATCCGTATCAAAATCTGTTCATTCACCATATTGGGCTGAACAATTTGATTTACATTTATTTGCTGATCAATCAAAAGTATTGGAAATTATACTTGGTTATTCGGGACAACATTCACATCAAAATTCAAATTCAAATCATCATCATCATCATCGTAATCATCAATATAATCAAAATAATGATTTTATTGATAAAGTTTGTACGGATCTAAGTGAATTAGAACCTGAACATACACATCGTTTTGTTTATGAATTTAATTGTTCAACAACAAACGCAACAACAACATCTGATCGTAATTCATTAACATCATTATCATCATCAAATATAACATCATCATCTATATCTGGTGGTAATAGTATGGTTAAATCATTGATAACGACAACAACAACAACAACGAAAAAATTGGCAAAAATTGAAATGCTCATCACGATTACTGGTTTACAATCAACAGCAACATCTATAAAACAACAACAAAATACATATGATTTGATTGAAATGCAACAAAAATATCATCAACAACAACAACAACCCCAACAACAACAGCAACAGCAGCAGGATAATTCATTACAAAAATTATTTCCATTGCCAAATATGAAGGTATAATTATTCAAGATTCAAAAAAAACCGAAATATCATTTCCATTTCTCTATCATCATTATAGGATTTGAATAATTTTTATGAAAATTTTTTCGATATTGGTACATTGATAGTGAAAGGTAATGTTTGAAAAAAATTGTTTTTTTTTCACTTGAATCTTTGTCATTTTTTTCATTTCTCTCGATTTTTTCTTGTATTCATACACACAGTACATAGAGCAGAAAATTTAGCATCAGCCGATATAAATGGAAAATCTGATCCATTCTGTGTATTAGAATTGGTTAATGAACGTTTACGTACAAGTACTGATTATAAAACATTATCACCAGTTTGGAATAAATTATTTAAATTGTAAGTTTTGTTTGTATTTTATCAAGAATTTGCTTTTCAAATTTGTTTCATTTTTCCAAAAAAAAACTAAAGTAAAATTCAAGATATACATGATGTACTTGAAGTAACTGTTTATGATGAAGATAAAGATCGTGTAGAATTTCTTGGTAAAATTGCTATACCATTATTAAAAGTGAAAAATGGTGAAAAACATTGGTATGCATTAAAAGATAAAAAATTACGTCATCGTGTTAAAGGCCATATATTTCTTGAATGTTGGATTACATATAACCCGGTAAATATATGGAACGTTTTTTGACTTTTCATTCTTATCTTATCTTTATTTATTTATTTTTGCTTTTCAAGATTAAAGCAAGTATCCTAACATTTACACCAAGGCCAACAAAATATGTACAAAATGAAATCAAATTTAAACGTACATTATTCATACGTAATGCTATGCGATTGAAAAATATTTGTTTAGAATTTGTTGAAATTGGACAATTTCTACATTCATGTATACAATGGGAATCACCTACACGATCGATAATTGCATTCATAACATTTTTAGCATCTGTTTATTATTTTGAATTCTATATGATACCATTGGTTATTGTATTATATACATTAATGAATTATATTGGTATTCGATTTCGAAGTATTTATTCAACTAAAAATGATAAAAGTTATCATCAAGATGATAATAATAATTATGTTGATAATGGTAGTGATAGTGATGAATATATTAATGAATCAAGAATGATTGATGAAGATTATGATGAAAAAGCTGAAGAGAAAAAATCATTTAAAGAAAAATTACAAACAGTACAGGATTTATCAACATTAATTATGTTGATTATTGGAGAGGTTGCATCATATATTGAACGTTGTAAAAAGTAAGTTGTTATAAACTATAAACCAAAAGTTTTAATTATAATTACAAATTTACCCCCCACCCCAAAATTAATTTGATTTAATTAGTGCAACAAATTTTACTGTGCCTTATCTAACATGGTTAGCCGTTATTTGTATGTCATTCGGGACAATAATATTATATTTTATACCAATACGTTATCTAATATTATTATGGGGTATAAATAAATTTACAAAAAAATTTCGTGCCCCTGATTCAATTAATAATAATGAAATTATTGATTTTCTATCACGTGTTCCAGATATGGAAGAAAAGGTTTGTGTTTTTGTAATTTTTTTGTAATGAATTTCTAATTTTAAAAAATTTCCTCCTCTCATACAGTTAATGTATAAACAATTTAAACCGACTATCAATCTGGATGATTTAAATGATAATGAAACAATCATACAACCAATACAACAACAACGACAAGAATCGAATCCAATCAATCAAAATCCAGATGGATTAAAACAGCAACAATGTATCGATAGTTCAATGACGTTGGATACTAATAATAATAATGTCAATGGCGCCAATACTACGACGACAATAATAATGGATCGGAAAATGAAAAAAAGAAAATAATTTTCCTGAAAAGCAAACATTACATTCTTTGATTTGATTTATTTATTTTTTATACATTCCATTTTGATGTTTGCGTTTTAAGTGGTGTGTTTTTTTTAATTTATTTATTTCCTATGTGTGTGTGTGTGTGTGTGTGTGTAATATATCTTTCAAAGTAAGTGTTTATTTGTGTGCAATCATCAAATCGCAGATGAAATGTTTGTGTTTGTTCTGTTTGTTTGAAAATAAAATAAAATTTTGTTATATTTTCTAATAGTTTGAAAATTGAAGAAAAAAATTTCTTTAAAATTGAATAACGAGGAATATTTATTTATTTATATTTTATGAATAAAAACATTCAATAATGTTGTTATTTGGAAAAAATAGAAAAATTTTTATATAAGAAAAATAATGAATTTGAAAATCATTAATGTTGTTGTTGCATGATGAATTCAATGATGATGATATGTGTGTGTTAATTTACAAAGAAAAAAAAGATGAAAGCCAAAATTGAGGAAAAACAATGAACAAAAACATTATAAATTGATTGATGTTTTTATTGGCGATGATTCATCGATTGCATTCTGTTTGACAAGATTTTTTGGTCTAATTATCGATGACGATGATTGATCTTTGGATGTTTCTTCAATCGATATGGCCGTAATCGATTGATTATTGTTGTTTATTGATGAACTTTTTGATGTTGGTGTATTGTTCGATGATAATGATGATATGGTATCGATTGTTGTTGTTGTTGTATTATATTTACGATATTTTCCATTTGATTGTAGATAGATTCTTGGATTATCATCGTGATTATTATTATTATTATTTGAATCACTTTTATTTGAAAATTTATCTGTAATTATTGTATTTGTACCATTCGATATTAATGATAATGAATTGGTCATTGATGATGGTGTATATGATTGTTGTTCATGATCCAAATGAGCATTTGGAATATCATTCGAATAATCATATGGATATTTTGTTGGTAATAATTTTCGTGGCCATATTGACCATGCTAATGAACTTAAATATTCTGATCGAACAAGATTGATTTGTCGATGACCACCAGATAATAATGAACAAATAATACCAATTAATAATGATATAATACAACCAAATACTGGTACTAATAGATAGGATATATGATATAAACGAATTAAACCTTCACGTTCATTTATTGATGATGATAATAATGATGATGGTAATGGTGATTGTGTTGTTGTTGTTGACAATGGAAACATAAGATAAATATTTGGTGAAAGTGAATCGGAAACATTTTGAAATGAATGATTTTGATCAATGGACATTGATGGACATTCAGTTGATGTATCAAGCATTTGTGCTGATTTGGGATATAATAGCGAACCGATCAATACCCACAAGCCGAAAAATTCACCGGTTAATAATCCACATAGTACACCCTTTAGTAAATTCATATAAAAATCATGATTAGAATAGGTTTTTTTTGGAAGAAATAAAGGAAAAAAACTTACAAAACTATTTGCAAATGGTACAAGAATACCGCATAAAAATAAACCAAACATTGGTCCAACCAAAGCACCGGCAATTGAAATAGCTGCTTCCAATATGGAATTAATTTGACTAACAACAAATGCCATTGCAATAGCAGCCATACCATAACCGAATGCAATAAATTTACTAATCTGTTGAATTTGTTTTTCAGGTAATTTTCGTACACTAGTACGTGATATAAAATCATCATATGTAACTGTTGCAAGTGCATTAAAACCCGAACTCATTGTTGATAATGATGCACTGAATACGCAAGAAACAAATAAACCAGCCATACCAGGTATATGACTAAGATGATTCATAACAAAATATGGCATTAATTGATCAGTTTTTGTTATAACACCTGAACGTAATGGATCACAATCATAATAAACACCGAATAATGCAATGCCGCAAAGACAAGCACAACTTATTAACAATGCAACACCTAAAAAATTTACATATAATGATCTGTGTGTGTGTGCAAAGGGAAAAAGGTAAATAAAATTTCAATATTAGAATAATTCAACTGAAATGATTAGAAATCATACAATTTAGCTCGACGTTGTGTTGTTACATTACAATAACGTTGTACTTCAGTTTGGCTTGTTGCATAATTACCACACCACATTGTACCCATACCGATTACACAATTCCATATGGTTGTTGTTGAATAAATATTTATTTCCGAACTTGATTTGTATTAATTAAAAATGAAAACAGAACAAAGGTAAATTCAATGGAATTCTAATCAAAATTGAAAACATACTTGAAAAATTGTAATCGTCCATATTTGCTTGATGTTTCAAATGCTTTTTGTATACCACCGGCTAGATAGAATCCCTATAGTAAGTAGGTAATGGTTAAATTGAATGATGCACATAGCAAAATGACAATGAATCATACATACACGAATCATAACAACAAAAAGACCGGCAAACATAAGAAAAACCTGCACAACATCAGTCCAAACAACAGCTTTAATACCACCAATAGATGTATATAATGTACAAATAAACCCGATAATCAATATTGATGCTGTAACACTTAGTCCGGTTACAGTTTCCAATGCTAATGATGGTCCATATAATACAACACCCATATAAGGTACTGTACATAATAAAAATGAAAATGATACTGCTAAACGAACATTTTTTGAATTAAAACGTTGTTCAAGATATTGATTAACTGATGTAAAATTTAAACGATAAAAAACTGGTAAAAATAATTCAGCAGCAATCATACTGGCTGCAAAACTTGATAATATAACCATCCTGTTTTTAAAAAAAAAACAGATAAAAATCAAGTTAAACTCCTTTTGTCTTTGTTTTTCGTTTGTTTAAAAAAGCGAAAAACCCTTACCAAAATTGTGTACCACGATAAAACATTTCAGCTGGATAACCAAGTATTGTAACTGAACTTTGAAAACTTGCTAACAATGACATTGCAACCGGAAATAAACTTAATGATTTATTTGATGTTAAAAATTCTTTATTGGAATGATTTTTACGATTCTAAATAAAATTGAACATTTGAAATGATGTCAGAAAAAAGATTCAACCACTACCACTTACCTTGTAAGCAAAATAAATACCAATACTGGAGGAAGCGACCAACATTGCAATAAAAACGGCAAAATCCCAAAATGTAAAGCTAAATTCTTTGTTGCCTTCATAATCAGGTGTTGAATCGATGAAATTGGCCATTTTTGATATGTGATGGTGATATGTGACGATTTTGAATCGCAGAAAAAATTTAATTTGATAAAAAAAATGTTTCTTTGGAGTTTTTCAGTGTTTATAGTTGTTGAACAACAAAAATGGACTGAACTGAACTGAACAAAATGACTGAATTCTGAATTTCAGCACATTTGATTTGATTATAATCAAAAAAAAAAAAAAAACAAGCAGAAAAAGAAAACGGTATCAGATGGGGCCAATATAATCAATGTTTTCAGCAGTTGAATCGATTCCGTTTGAAACAATGACCATCAAGTGAACAATGTCAATTTATTATCTCAAATAACCATCGTTTAGTTTGTCCTGTGTTTTTGTGAGAAAAGAAATGCAAAAACAAAAACAAAAAACGGTCAAAGGATGATGAAATAAGATGACAAAATTTGATTTATTAGAATGATAATAATAATGATGACAATCGAAATGTTTTGATGATGGACAATTTCTGGCATAACACAAATGAATGATTTGACAAAGATTTTCTTTCCGAAAAAAAAAGAAAAAAAACCGAAAGTAAAGGAAAACAATTAATGATAATATCATCAATTTGAATTGAGAACAAGGGAGAGAGAGAGAGAGAGAGAGAGATTTGGTTTGTAAAAAATGATAATAAAACACTTTTCTAATCAACCTGGATCATTATCATCATCATAAACTTATTATCATTATGCAGATGAAATTGAAGTAAAGCAAAGAAAATTAATTTTTAAAAAAAGTTTTAAATCACAAGATTTAGATCACAGATTTTGTACTAATAGACAGAAAAAAAATAAGTACAAACATAGTTGTAAAATTGATTGATGGCCCTCAAATGTTTTAATCAAAATAATGATGGTGGTGGTTTTTTTTCTTGTGTAAATATTTGTCGTTCGGAAAATAATAACCGAAAAAAAAGGAAAAATCCTAAATATCAAACATCATCATCAAGTTACATTCATTAGCATATGGGAAAAATGAGGAAAAAAACATTTAATCAAATATGAAAACCAATGATTGATGAATGATATTGAAAACAAATTCGATTCCTATTTTCTTTCAAACGAAATGAAATAAAAAAAAAATAAAGACCAGTAGTTGTGTGTGGTGTAGCAGCAGCATTGAATGAATTCAAAGGGGAAAAAAACTCCGAATAATCAATCAATTTGATGATTCCATGATGAACGAATCGATGCTATCATGGTTGGCAATTGGCAATATATTTTTTTGTCCAACAAATCATGATTGCATCGAATCAATGTAATATTAATTCTCATCATTCAAGATTATATCAATTTAACACGCAACAAAAAAAAGAGAGATTCATGAATTTCCATACAATTCATTCGATGATGATAATGATGATGGCGAAAAAAAGTAGCAAGTTTTCAATTAGTAACAAACCCAAAAACATGCAGAGAGAGAGAGAGAGAGAATTGTTGAATTAATTACTGATTAAAAATCGATGATAATTGATTAAAACGTGATGCTGCACCGTTATTTTTTGTAAGCAAAAAAAATTTTTCTTGGTCAAACAACACAACCTATACCTATACACATACATTCAACATTGATGTTTGAATTCAATTAAAACTTTTCATTTATTCATTCAAACGACGACGACATTGAAATGTCCAATTTTTGGTCAGAAACAAAAAGTGAATGAAAAATGAAAGAAACAAAGAAAGAAAGATACCTGAAGATTAAGATTATATATGGTGTGTTTGGAAACCCGAAAATAATTTTTGTATTTTTTTCATTCAAATAACGAAACCTTGACAACAACAAAAAAATGATGAAGACATTTTGTTTTTTTCGTAAATATTTCATCATTGATTGTCTAGAAAGATTAGGAAAGAAAGAAAAAAATTCGTGGGAATTTTTCCATAAATTTTTTTGTTTGTTTTGTTTGATTACGAAAAAACTTTATGTTTCATTTGAATGATTTCGGAGGAAAAACAATTTCCGGAAAGTTTTCTTTTTCTATTTGGCGTTATTCCTGAGGATAAAAAACTATTTAAGAGGTATTTATGTCCAAACGACAAAATGGGGGGAAAAAAATTGATAATTGATAAACAACGGTATACTCTTTTTTGGTTAGCCTTGAAAATTAAAATAATAATTGATTATTGTTTTCAACATACCTTTTGAAGGATTTTTTTTTTGTTGGGAATTATTTCGGGAAAAAAATTTCGAAGAAATTTTCCGAATTTCGAGAATTTTTCTCCTCAAACTGTTATCAAGAGTAAAATGATGAAATGAAAAATCAACAATTAAAATTTACATCCAAATCCATGATGATTGAATCGATCAAAACAACCAAAAAAATAAAAATAAATTCCTGGGCTTCGGAATTTCCAGAAAAAGTTTTCCAGACATTCATTCATTCATCCATCATGTTTGATGATGATGTGTGTGTGTTGTTCGCTTTATAATTATTATTGGCAACAGCCATACATCATTCATTCAGTGTGTTATATAACAACATATACCCTTTTTTTTTTTTTTTTTTTTTTTTATTGGTGTTAACGAAAATAATGAAAAAATTCGAGAAGAATCTTGAATTTAACACTGAATGATGATGATGATGCGGATAATGTTCGGGATGTTATAAAATAAAATAAAATAAATAAATAAACATGACATACATATACACCAGCAGCTAACATCATCATAATAACCGAAATTGGGTAACCCAGTCACTGTTGTTAGTTTATTTTTTTTTGTTATTCTTTTTTATTTGGGTTGATAATAGAAACCGGGCCAATCATTTACCACTACTACTACATCAATTACCCGATGTTGTTGTTGTTGTTGTTGCTGTTGAATGAAAGTGAAAATCTAGATCAAGATCTATATCAGATTCGGATGATGATGATGATGTTCCAGAAGAAAAAATAATTTGGAACAAATTTTTGTAGTGGTAGTGGCTCAAATTATATAGAATTTTCGTTTTAAAAATGAAAATAAAAAGAATAACCGGTACTTACTGGTTTTATGATAGAATCGGTAATTCGTTTCTCGTTATAACATGATGATGATTATTATGGCTATTGATATGATTGGAAACTATTTTTTGTTTTTCAAATTTTGGATTCTTCCAATGATTTGAAATCTGTCGAGAAATTTGGAAAACAAATTGATGGCGAAAATCCAAATTGAATTTGTTTTGGAAAAATGTGCGTGTGTTTTCTTTCAAAAGAATAATTTGATGATGATGATGAAATCCATTCAACAAATTAAAAATTTGCTAATTCATTATCATCGTTGAGCAACCAGAAAACAAAAACAAACAAACAATAATGTTTTCTTTTAAATGAATAAACATCATAATCACATCATGATAATAATGATAAAAATTTCAAAGAATTTTATCTTATCTTTCCAAAAAAGAAAAGCAGAAGATGTGCTGTTACACACACGCACTGTTTTTTATTTGGATGGCCATTTTCTGGCCTTCAAATAGAAATTTTTCTTTTCTTCCCTTTGAATGTCATTCGGGTTAATATTGTTTATATTTTCAAATTAATCAATCATGATTGATTAATTAATTGATTAACCAAATTTGAAAAGAAAGAAAAAACAATTAAAACAAAACAAAAAACTTCAAGAGAAACTGTGTGTGTGTGTGTGTGTGCATCCATATCATGTTGAACATGATTGATAGAGATTAAATCCAATCAGATTATTCTGATCTCAAGATAATGATCTTATCGACGATCTTATCTCCGAATATGCATGATAAATTAATTATAATCATCATCATTAATATGGAACACATGTCGCCATCTATCGTTTTCAAAATGAAATTATTACTCCTTTTATTTAATTTTTTTTCAAATAAGAAAAAAAAAATGAAAAAATCATTTAAAATCATTTCTCAGTCCATAAATGTTCTTCATATTCAGGTTTTTGATCAGCCATCGGTTGTTGTTGATCTTGTTGCTCGGTATTTTCACTAACACTTCTTGATTTTAGTCTACCAAACACTTGTGGAACAGCACCACCATTATTTGCTGGCAGATATGTTGCTGTTGCACCTGTTGTTATAATTGGTGGTGGTAATGCTTTTGGTGACATTGATTTCTTTGAATTAAAACGAAGTAAAATTTTCGGTCCATTATTATTTGGTGATAATGTTCTTCGATCAGTTTTGTTATTAGTGGATGATTTTGATGATAACAATTGTGATGTTCTTGTTGATGAACGTTTTTCACTTATTGATTTTTCACTTGCTGAACTTTCCTCATCTTCAGTTGTACCTTTAGTTGATTTTTTTGTTTTTGGTGTACGGTTTTTTTTCTGTTTTTTTAATGAAATTTTTTTCGTTTTTATCGTCGATTTGATTGATGATGTTGCTGGTATTGTTGATGTCATAATACCCATTGATTTAAGTAATGATTTACGTCTTTCATAAATACAAGCAGCAATTATTAAACCAATTGTAATTATAATATCAATAGACATTAATACTAATACAGCAATACTTGATGCCATACCACAAGAATCTTCACCTGAAAACCGTTCACAACTAAAATCATCACATAAATCTGATTGATATGTACAACGACCACAAAATAATTCTAAACGTTTTTCATTTCGACAATTTTGTTCAATACATTTACAAAAAAATAAACGTTGACAACATCGCAATAATTCGGATGGACCAACTTTATTTACAATATTTCCTTCAGATACTCTTTCACATAATTGTGATAATTCACTAGGAATTTTGTATAAATGTAAAAAGCGTCAATCAAACAACCATCATTAATCAAAAAAAAATCTTACCCAAAATTTTCATTGTCCATTATTTAATCAAAGTAGGTCGGATTGTTTGTTTCTTTTGGGATCTCGATTCACACAAATATCAATCAAATTGAAACAACAAAAAAAAAATTTCATTCAAAAACAACAGAGTAAAAAAATGGAAAAATTGTCGAATTTTATTTCAAAAAAATTCTGTAAAACGAATTCAATTATAATGAAAATGTCAAAAATCAAATTATTTGTTCATTATTGTTGCGAAAATTTTTCCACAATGCTGTGCCAATTAATTTGATAAAATTACTTTTTTCAGCAAAATTTTCATCATGATATGCTTGAAAATGATATTGAAAAATATCCTTACTAACGGCAATGAAATATCGTTCACCAAGTATTAGGGTAGCAATTCTAGTTAATTCTGATAATAATCGATGATAAATATAACCACAGCTAAATTTTTCATTCCATTGAATAGATTTGAATGCATTTTGTACATAACATTTAGCTGATGGTATAAAGAAACTTGGTCGAATAGCAATCAATTGTGAATGAACAAACATTGGTGTTAATGCAAAAACTAGAACATTTTTCGATAAACATTCATAATATAATGTTTGGGAAAAATTCAATACAAATGCTTTAGTTGATGAATACATTGTTCCAAGACCACAGCTATGTTCGGCTAGGTTCGATGAAAGATTTAGAATTAAACCACGTTGTTTTTCAATCATTGTTGGCAGAATAAGATCGGTCATTCGTACTGTGCTTGTAATATTAACACTAATCATATCTTGATGATAATCACTTGATTCATTGTAGAAAAAATCCAATTTTTCCATATTAGCAAAGCCAACATTATTGACCAATATGAACACATCTTTATCTTTGATTGCCAAACGGATTTGATCATAAATATCCAATTTTTTAAAATCTACTGCAACAGTTTCGATTTGAACATTATTTCCGGATTCATTCAGAATTGTTTGTCGTTTTGCTGCCAATTTTTCCGGATTTCGGCTAATCATGACAATATTATAACCTTTTTGAGCCAATTGTCGAGCAAATTCATAGCCAATACCATCTGTGGCACCGGTAACAACAGCCCAATATTTGCCGTTATTCGTATCCCAAACAAAAGGACGATAATTTCGAAATTTCCATAAAATTATTGAAATAATAATCACTATTATTGTTAGAAAAATCATTTTTCAACGAAACAAAAAAATAATGTTCATGTGCAGCATGAAACAACAAAATCAATATTGAACATACACATCATCGAACAATGTTTGATGATCGAAACAAATTTCCAATGAATGATAAAAAATTGTTTTTTTCACTGTGTTTTAAACAGTTGATAATTGTATGATGTATTTAGCATCGAAAAGATAAAACAATTTTTTTGATTTGATCAATTTCCATTTCATTTTTTACATACATATCTGAATATGTCGCTTTTGTATAAAAGTTATCTGTGTGTTAAATCTAATTATCATCGAATGTTGTGTGTGTGTGTGTGTAAATGAAATTCAAATCATCACTGAAATGAAAAACAAAATCAAAACAACTGAGTCAAAAAACCGGGAAAAATTGTCAAATTGTTTTTTTCACTTAATTTACTTTTAAATTTCTATTTGTTACTTCATTAAAATCAAATTGTATTATAATTTTTTTAATTTATTGCAAAGATTTTTCTATAATGTATGTATTATAATAATTGTATTATATAAAAGAGTGAGGGGTTAAAATTTAGTTATCAGTCAATGTTGTGTATGTTTTCTGTGTATGTGATCGTGTGAATGTAATTATAAAATTATTCGAAACGACAAAACAACAAACCAGTGGAAAAAAATGATTAACGAATTTTATTGCAAAGATTTTTCCACAATGCTTTGCAAATTAATTTGATAAAATTATTTTTTTCAGCAAAATTTTCATCATGATATGCTTGATAATGATATTGAAAAATATCCCTACTAACTGAAATGAAATATCGTTCACCAAGTATTAGGGCAGCAATTCTAATAAATTCTGATAATAATCGATGATAAATATAGCCACAGCTAAATTTTTCATTCCATTGAATAGATTTGAATGCATTTTGTACATAACATTTAGCTGATGGTATGAATAAACTAGGTCGAATAGCAATCAATTGTGAATGAACAAACATTGGTGTTAATGCAAAAACNCGGATTCATCCAGAATTGTTTGTCGTTTTGCTGCCAATTTTCCGGATTTCGGCTAATCATGACAATATTATAACCTTTTTGAGCCAATTGTCGAGCAAATTCATAGCCAATACCATCGGTTGCACCGGTAACAACAGCCCAATATTCACCATTATTCGTATCCCAAACAAATGGACGATTCCAAAATTTCCATAAAATTATTAAAATAATAATCAATATTATTAGAAATATTGTTAGAAAAATCATCTTTCAAATGAAACAAAAATAATATTCATGTACAGCATGAAACAACAAAATCAAAAATGACAACCACATCTTGAATAATAAGATTTATTTTATGAATTTATTTTATTCTATAGATGTGTGTGTGTGTGCGTATGAACAAACAAACAAAAAAAAAGACAAATTTTCCAGTGATGCTTTTTTTTGAATATATAAACAGAATTAACGGTTGATAAAATTCTATGTATTTTTTTTCGTAACCCTTTAGCCTTTGCATTTATAATTTAGAAAAAAAAGAGAGAAAAAAAAGCTTGTATAAAAAAAACAAAATATTAAAATTTGATGATTATGATCCTTTACCATGATGAATGTTATCTGTATGTGTTTTAGTTACATTGTATTTTTGTGCCTGTACTGTTGTTGAATAAAAAAAAATGTAAATCACTAAAAATGGCCTTGGAAATATTGACGTAATTAACAAATTTTTTTTTTGTTTAATATAAAAGAATATAATACAAAAATGTTGTAAAAATAATCAATATGAATGATAAATTTTCAATAATACAACCACATGTAATTAAATCATTACTTTCAAGATAAGGTAAAAAATCACCTAATGTTTCTTCAAGACTAATATCCGGACGAAATAATTGAATTTTTTGTGCACGATCCGAAAACATTATATCCGAACGATTACGAAACATACCGGCAATTAAAAATGATGTTTTATATTTACCGAAAAATGTTTCACTTAATTGATTTAGAATGTACATTGCATCTAATCGTATATCGTATGGTGTAAATATTGATGTTGCTATTATTGAATCAGGTATTGCTTGAATATGACAACGATTATAATCATATATGGTTGCATGTAATAATGTACGACCAACGCCATTACCACCATTATTATTATTATTAACAAAATCATTAACATCATCAATACTATTACCACGTAATGTACCACCAGTACGTGGATCGAATAAATCTTTTGGTATACGACAAAGCAGACGAAAATCTGAACTTTTTAAATCTTTTGCCCAATTGGTTGGAAATCTGGAATTTGTCAAGCGAAGAATTGTATCATGTGAAACAAATGCAACATCACCACGTCCTTCAACCAAACATCTGATAGCACCATCTTCACCACTAAATCTTTCACCAAAATCTAGATCACAATGATGATGACCACGTTCATCACCAATACATTGTGAACAAAGTTGTTTAACACCAGTACCATTTGGATTAATACGTGCATCAGCTGCACCTGGTACACAACTTGCACTAAAATAATCAACAATAATTTGTGCACGATTACAACTTGTTGGTTCAACTAATTCATCACGTATCAATGAACCGATTGGTATTGTCCAACTAGCTAGATGTCCAAATCCACTATGACATGAACGTTTATGTTTCATTTGTGATAACATTGATAAATCAGAATTTGATCGTACAACAGCTACTGAATATTGTGGATCATTACTTTCGATTTTGGCTAATGCTTGTAATGATTGATATCTAATTAAGCAATGGGAAAGAGAGAATAAATGAGATTGAAATGTTAAACAAATTTCCTTACCTGGCACCATAATAAAAACGATCAGGTGAAAGTATCATTAAATCAGCTTTACGTTCGTTTATCAAACGAATACATGTTTCTTCGGAATCAGCTTGATAACACCGGATCGGTGGATGAATTCTTCGTGAAAATGCAGCTTTTTGTAATTTTTGACATTTACTTAGTTCACCTTCTTTACTTAAACAAAATGTTATATTTCTTTTTGGACAACCTTGCATTTGTTTTTCGATAGATGGTATGAAAAATTCTAAATAATGATCATATCTCATTGGTCCATTATTTGGATTTGATGGAAATAATTGTATTAATTGTGTAACATTTAATGATGATACAAATGATTTATCAAACCAACTTGGTCGTAATTTACTAAAACGATTATAAACCATTTGTAATGTACGAAAATAAATATCTTTATTTCGATCTAAAAATGAAAAGGATTATCATTAGATTAAAAGATTTCAACATTCAAAGACAAACAAACACAAACCTCTACCGGAACGTATTACAAATGCATTGGTTGGATGTTTAGCCCAATGACAACCACGTGATGTAATAGCCATTCTAGTACCATCCATACATAAAAATTCATACATTGATGACATGATTGTACGTTGTGCAAAATAATCAACAGCCATTTCAATTGTAGTGAATGCAATTTCACCTAAACCTTCAGTCATACATTTAATTGAACCATCAGGACCGGCAAAACTATCCTGTTCTGAACATAAACCATAAACATTATCACGACAAAGTGAACATAAACGACGATGTTTTCGTTTAAGTTGTTCATCCAAAAATAAATCTGTTGACCAATTACCAGCAGCACATGCTTCTAAGAAAAATTTTTCCACTGTTTGTAATTCTGATCGACAATCTGGTACCATTGTTTCATAATATGATAATATTCCTAACGGTATATTCCATCGATAAAGATCATTATAAGGACCAAGACATGCACGTTTATTTTTCAAATCAATCAATGAATGTATTTTAACATCTCTACGTACTAAAACAGCTGTACGTTGTAGATAATTATTACCATTATATTCTTCTCGTACAAATGGTTCAAGATTATAAAGACGTCCAGCCATATAAATTTCTTCAGCATCTAGATTAACAATATCAGCTTCATCACGATCCAATAAACGCATACATTCAAATTTATCTCTAGCATTTATACAGGAAAATAATCCCGGTATATTATCGGCCATTTGATTACAATCATCATATACTGATTGTGGTACACAGATTCTTGTACGTACTTGAAAACGAACAAAGAAAAAAGAAGAAACAGAAAAAAATTAAATTAAATTTGAAAGAATTTTCAAATAGGAAAAAAACATGCAAAATCATATAGCCAATGGGCAAAACATCCCCAAAATCTATCATCCATAAGAAAAAACATTGAAAAATAGAAATCCCAAACAAAAAAAAAACGACAAACTGATCAATCAAAATTTTTCCAATCATCAAATAGTAATTATTATTATTATTAGATTTGTTTTGTTTTTTTTTCTGTTTGATTTCTAGCTCGAAAATATCATTCATAACAATGACATTAATCTATTGAATGGTTTTGAATGATAGTTTTTAATAGCCTGAGGGCAAACAACTACAACAAGCATCCTTCTTGCTTTTTTTTACTATGACTGATGATGATCAATTCAATCAATCGATGTGATCAATAAAAAAAATGTTTATTTGAAACTATGGCAACCAAAAAAAACAAAAAAAAAGACGTGCATACATAGGTTCATCAAGGCCATAAATATCCAAAAACATTATCATTAAAAGAACATATAGGGGAATATGTTTTCAATGTTTTTTTCATTGACATTCAAAAATAATAACATTGAAATTGTGAAAAACCCATCCAGGATTATTTTTTTACTAACATTTTCTTTTGTGAAAATTCTATCATCATTAATGAATTTGAATAGGGATGTCAAAAGTAAATATTTACATTAGAGATTTTCTTTTCAAGTTCTTTTTTTTCATTTAACACTGCTGCATCAACTCTATTTGTGATTTTTCTGAATCAAAGAAAAAAAAAATTATTGTTCTGATTGAAAAAAAACAATGAAAAAACTGATTTTTTGATTGAAAAATCAATCAATTGATTGACAGATTGGAGTGAGAGCTTCAGATTTGGACAAAAAACATGCATGCATTAATCAAATGACCTAAATAATGTATGTAAAAACAGAGAAAAACTTTATTGATTTTGATATGTCCATCATCAAAATAATCTTTTGGAAGAATTCATCCATACAATCGATTGTATCATTATCGATTATATCGATTGTATAATAATAATAATGACAATCGAATCTTAATGATTGATCAATAAATAATAAAATTCAAGCTTCTTAATAATCAAATAATGGTGATGTGTTTATAGCTGCTTTTTTATAATGAACAAACAAAAAACAAAAGAAATTTTTTTTTCAAAAAACTTACATTGTGCATTGGACAGTAATAAACGAAGATGATGATGATCGAATAGAAGAAAATCATTCATAAATAAAATGATAATATTAATCGAAATGATGATCGAAATTAATCGATTCATCAATCGATAAATCGTTGATGATGATGACAGATGAATCATGTTCGGACAGATTTTTCAAATGAACCGAAAAAAAATTCAGATGAAAGGAAGGAAGGAAGAAAGTTGTCTCTAAATGATGAGTTGAATCTGAAATAAAATTTTAAAAGAAAAAACAAAACAAAAAATGAGAATCAAATTGACAAATTGATCTAAAAATAGACGGATCTTTGTCGCTGTTGTCAGTGATGATAATGATTTACATTTTGAAATGATACAAAATTTGAATTGATGAGGATGTTGTTGATGATGGATCAATCAATCAATCAATTCGAAAACAAAAAGAAAATAATGAAGGACATTTGCATCAAAAAAAATGTCTAAATTAATTGCGAGAAAATAATGAAATCGATGGAAAAAAAACAAGAGAAACAGATCAACGATTCATTCATTCATTCATTATGGACAATTGTCAATTATTATCCTCATCATCATCATTTGGATGTCATTTGAAATTAGAATGAAAAGAAATTCATTTCTTGAGGACATCATCATCATCCATGTCCATCGATTTTTTGATTTCGATGATAATAATGGTGGTGGTGAACAAAAAAACATCAACAGGAACGAATATAATGAAAATGAAATGAACGAAACAATCGATTGTTGTTGTTGTTATATTCAACAATTGGTTTGCACTGTCTCTCTCCGTTGATTTGGTTTTGATTATAATCATATTATCGATGCTTTTTAAACCATTTTATTCATTCATTCTACAGTTACTAACTGTAGTTGATGTTACTCATCAATGATGATGATGATGATGATATTACACTATCATAATATCGATAACGTTCATCACTGGAGACAAGCATGCAGAAAAAAAGAGATGGACAACTGATTTAGCTTCTGTTCTTATTTTCTCTATTTCAATTTCCCTTTCAAAAGATTCTTTCATGGCAATTATTTGTTTGTTTTTGTTTTTTGTTTTGAAATTCATTGATTTAATGGAATAATTGCAATTATTGCGATGCGATTCGGTTGTTTTTGATTTTTTGTTTTTATCAAGTATCATCGTTGCACCAATGATGATGATGAATAATTTTGTATGAAAATTATTGTCCAAATTTGATGTTTTCGATTTGAAAAAAAATTAAATTTGATTCGCAAAAAAAATCGTGAATTCAAAAAAAAACTTTACTGCAATCGATTTTAGTTTCATTTTTTTTGAGAAGAAAAAAAATCGATTAAAATGACATTGAAAATACCTCGATGGTTGCCAAAAACAAATTAATTAATTATCAAACAAACAAACAAAATAGAATTCAATAAAGATTCGATTTTCAGTTTTCATTTGCACCAAAAAAAATCGTGTTCAGAATTAATTAATCAATTACTTTGAAGTTAAAGAAAAAACCCCTTTAAATAAAATCAAAATTTGCATATTTTTTTTCTTCTTCTTCTTTTTTCGTTCATGTGAAAAAAAGTTAAAGTTTCGACAATTTTCGGCTTATTTTTGTCAAAAAAAAGCGTTTTTTTGAAACTTTTTTAAAAAATCCTGATCAATCAATCTAATCAATGATGAATCATCAACCATTTTGTTCACCACCCAAAATCCGAAAATAAAGATTTTTTTTATTTCGTTGGGCAGGTAAATGAAAAAGAAGAAGAATTGCTGAATATTTTGTTTCTTCCACACACTTATATAATCAAATAGTCACTATGTTTATTACAGTAATGGATAATGATCATTTGCTTTGGTTGTTTGTTTTGCTTTGCTTGTGTTTCATCATTGATGATGATGCAAAACAAATGATCATCATCGATAGGAAAACAATGGTTGTACACACACCGAGAGAGAAAGAGGAAAAACAAAATCATCAAGGTCAACATTAAGGTTTTTTAATGATGTTTTTTATTTCAGGGGAAAAAATTTTACTTTTTTAAAAAATTTAAATTTCCGCGAACAAATTTTTTGCTGTTGTTTTTTTTTGAATATTTTAACACCGGTTGTGGTCAAGCGAAAATTGGATTTAAAAAATTGTTTTCAAGCAAACAAACAACCAAAGATCAATATTTACAAGTTTTTTTGGGGTCAGCGACAAATAACACTTGAAAAACAAAAATTTTAAAATTGATTTTTTTTTTGACAGGAAAAATAAAATTTTTGACGAAATCGTTGTTGTTGTTGTTGTTTGAACATTTACACACATTTCTGAATTAATGAAAAAAAATATTACCAGAAACAAACTTACCGGGAAATTTTCTTTTGAAAATTAATTCAAATTGCGAAATTCAACAAAAAAAAAAATGTTTTACATTTTTCAATCCACTGAATCTTATCGAGTTCACACTGAAATCATTATTTTGTAAAGAAGAAACAAAATTCTTGTTCAACAAAAATCAAATGTCCATCGTTGTCAAAAGAGTTGAAACAAAACAAAAACGAAAACACAAAAAATTTTATTACTTAAAACAACAACAAAGAAACAAACAAATTTGCATAACGTGTCATTGAAGATTCATGCAATTCGTTGACTGCAAAAGAAAAGTTGGACGGTCGCTGATGATGGAGATTTCACCAAGAAACAAAATTCAAAAGTGAACAAAAACCAAAAACAAGAAATAACAGAATAAGTTTTTATTCAATATTGAAAAACAAAATTGAAATCGAAATTGAAATCGACAAAGCCGTGTGACAGCATCAATGAAAAAACACACAGAAGTAGCAGTGAAAAAAAAACAAAACAACGAAATGGGCGGCGGATAGTTTTAGTTTTTGGAAAATGTTGGTTAAGCAGGTTGATTGATTGATTGAAAACAAAACGAAGAGAAAAAAAACTAACTGACCAACTGACCAGCCAACCAAATACAAATGACAAGAGAGAAAAACGATTCTTTGGACGAAAAGCAACAAACCTGGTTGACTATTGAATTGAAAGCTTTTGGCTGCCAATTTCAAAACATGCACAGAAGAAAAAAATCATTATCATCAAAGACCAATGTCCATTTTATGTGTCGACGATGGATACGTGAAAAAAAGTATCATCATTATCATCAAAGTTTGGACTCATTATATGAGCAATAATGAAGAAAGTGAAGAGAAATGTCCAAATGGAATGATGATATTAATGATGATGATGATGATGGACAAAAAAAATGAAAATGAATGATGTTCCCATTTCTGTGTAATGTGCAATGGTCAACCAAACATTGTATTTTCTTTTAGCTTTTAACTTTTAATTGTAGTTTTTCTGTTTTGTTTTTTCGGCTACTAACTAACTAACTAACTAATTAAATGGACATTATCCTTATTTATTTTTTCTTTTCTTTTCTGTTTGATTCTTGATTGATTCATTCATTCATTATTACGGTCATTGTAATTATGATTATGAAATTATTTTATGAATCATCATCATCATAATTGTCACGCAATTTCGTTCAAAAAATTAGATTAAGTTTTTTTTCTGGGTTAGTTCGGTTCCATCAGTTCTACAATAGCAAACATATAACACACACACACACCTTGAAAATGTTTTTTTTGCTTCAAAACTCTGTAAACATCCCTCCATCATCAAATTGCTGATGTCAAAAAAAAGTGTGAAAGAATTGGGCAATTTCGTTCTTTTTTTCTGTTTAGGCATAAATAGAGATAAATAATTTTTTCAAGATCACAAACACATCATTGAGAATCTTTATCCCCAAAAAAATGAGAATAATCTTTATTCATCACCAAAAAAAGATAAAATTAAATGATAATAATGTTAATTTGAAACGAAAACGAAAAGCAAACAAAAAAATGAATGGATGTTTTTGCCATTTGATTCAAGGTCGTAACAAAAAAACATTTAATTATTTTTGAAGAAAATCCCAAAACAAAACGATTCTCAAAATGATGTGAAAAATGAAAAAAGTTTTTGTTTTTGTTTTTTTCGTTTTGCAAAATTGCAACAACTTGATTTATGACACTTGTGATGATCAAATTGGATTCTGGACAAAAAAAAATTGACAATTGAAGAAAAGTGAAACGATGATGATGATTTTTCAATGTCAATAACGAATTCAGTTTAACATTATCATGATGGTGATTCGATTTCATTTTCGATTGAATTGAATTGAATGAATTATACTTTAATTGGTTTTTAGGTTATCGAATTTCCAATTGGAAAAAAATGAAAATGAAGAAAAACAAACAAAAAAAACCATCGCCATCATCAATCATCATTATGTGATTGTCTAATCATTTCCTACCTTTATTTCTACCTTTCTATCATCATCAAATTGATTAGACAAATGAAAATAGTGACAACTTTTACTTTTATTTCCTTTCACTTACTTACTTTTGAACGGTCATTTTGATAATTAAAATTGAAAAAAAGAAGAAAAAAAATGCAAAGTTGTTGCATTCATATTTTTGGATGACAGTGAAAAACACAAGTGACTAATTTCAATGCACCATACACGTGCAAAAGTTTGTCAGAAAACAACTTAATTCATTACACAGAAAAAAAAGTGGAAGAAGAAAAAACATTTTAAAAACTTACCTTGGTTATTATCATTATCATCGAATGATGATGGTGGTGAAAATAACCAATGAATTTTGGTTTCGAAACCATTTGCCAAAGAAGAAGAAGACTAGAACATCGAAAGAATGATAAGATAAAAAAACTTTAAAAACGTTTGCTGTTGATGATGATAACGGTGTTTAGACTGGCCAAATGATGAAGAAGATGATGTTTTAGAAACAAAACACACATAGTGAGAGTGAGAGCAAAAGATTACAACAGACATCAATAGAACAATCGAATCTCAGGTAAGTAATAATTCAAAAAAAAAATGAAAAATGTAAGCATCATACAGGAAGACAGCGAAACAAAAAAGCAGACAAAAATTTATATTCAAAAGTCCATCATATTGATGATGATAAAACTTTTCATCAATGAATACTTTTCATCAGGAAACAAGGAAAAAAACTTTTCCAAATGATAATGATGATAAGGTTGACCAATGGATCATCATAATAATGATGTTGTTGCTGTTGTGGTTGGCCAAAATATGAATTAAAAGATGACCACAGCGATGATGATCATAATAAAAACTCATAATGATCATCAGGTTCCTCTGATTGTTGATTTTAAAAAGATTTACATTTTTATTTTTTCGGCTGTTGTTGTGATGGATAAGTGTTTATTGAACACACACTGGAAATGGAGAAAAAAATGTAGATCAGATAAGTTCAATTTTCTTCCACTTTCTCCATACTTGGAGTGATGAACATTTTGATTTGATTGATTTTTTCTGGGTTTCATTTTTTTCCGAAGCACTCTGTTGTTATTACATTATCAATTTCGATGTTTTTTCGATATTTTTTTCCATTTTCTTTGGTGATTAGAAAATCCAAAATGTTCAGCTGTGTGTGTGTTTTCAGATTTTTCGAGATGAATTAATTTGATGATGTCCATGAAACATGAATTTATTTTGAGACGAAAGAAAATGCTTTTTTTGTTGGAGAGAAAATAGCTCAAAAAACAAATGTTTCATATTAGATTTTGAACAGATTTTTCTGTTGTAGATCTTAAATGAAACAAACGTTGCAACAAAATAAAAAACTAGGTCAGCTTTTTGAAGCTTGTAGCCATTTTCAGTTTGTCAAAATTGATTATTTTGGCTATTTAAGTCAATTAAACATCGTTTGATGATTTTAATTTGCGAATTGATGAAATGCGTGTCCAACAACAACAACATTAACATCGAGATTATCATCGTCAAAACACTTGCTTAAGAGGTGATTACCATTATCCATCAAAAAAAAAATCCCTGAAAGTACAAATTACGATCATGTCGTTTATGAACAGTAATTGTATACATAATCGAATCAAATCGGATATCGATATTATTTGTCGGTCATATATGACGTTACTTCATAAAAATGAATTTGAAAGCTTGTCAAAAACAAAAACAAAAATCAATCAATCAAAATAATAATAATAAAATTTATTGATTATCGATTTAAAGCAACATATAAAATAAACATATAATTTCTTTCAATCACCAATATTTAAATCATCTAACATTTCTTGTAAAGAAATTTCCGGAACATCATCATCATTTTCAACTGCCATTTCCGAATCAATTTTACGTTTATCTTTATAAATATTAATATGACGTCTTATAATATCATCTTCTTCAAGATCTTCCATAAATTCAATATAATCATCATCCATACGATTATTATTATTCGAACTTATTTGGCTAGCAGTTTCAGCATCGTTTAGAAATTTTCTTAAACGCCAACGACGACGTCTTTTACGTTCATTACGATCACCATAATATTTTTTAACAATAATAACATCCGGTATTTTATCTTGATGTGATTGTTCATATAGTTCCCAATTTGGTTCATTTAAATTTGCTGTACTTAGATCGAAACCAAGAATTAAATCACCTGGATGTAAAAGATGACCAAGATGTGTACGTGTATGTATCTGTGCTGAACTGCCAATTTCGGATGATTTTACCAAATATGCATCGGCTAATTCATGCTGCAATGAAAAAACAAAACAATGATGAAAGGTGAGAAAACATTAAACATTGACTGACCTTTTGTGATTGGCGAAAGTTGGCACCACCACCACCACCATTATTAGCATTTGCAATCATATCCATTTCCATAATGGTATATTCAATCAATTTATTTGAATAACAAATTGAACGAAATGGTGCCCGAAAATAAGTGGTAGCATTCATTTCGGCAACTTTCAATGAAAAAAAAGTCAAAATAAAACAAACGAAAAAACAAAACGAAAAAACTTACCATTCAATGTAAATGGATCGATTACAGTAATCAAATTGGTTACACGTAATACAACACAAATCTGGCCAATATTACCCAATTGTCTTGCTGTTGCTAATGGCAAACAAACAACATCATCTTTACATATTGGTACAATTTCAACAGCAAATGTATATTTATAATTATAAGTATTATTATGTGTATCATGTGATATTAATTGTTTGGATGTTGTATAACGACACGGGACCATTGATTGAAGAAAATCAACCAATTTTTTTGCATCATCACGTTTATCATAGAAAAAATCGATACCTTCATGTATTTGTTTAACATTAACACATCGGTCATGTGCTTTATATTTCAATAATAATTGTTCCAGATAATAAAATGTTTTTTTATGTGTTACTTTTTGTCGTACTTGAACGACTGCTTTCCAAAAATCTTTTGCTTCAATACGATGACATTGATCACACATTGATGAATGAACTGAATATTCAACAATGAATATTTGTTGTAGAATTGCACCACCTTGAACTTCTTTCTGTACGGTTAGTTTGATTTTTAAACGTTTTGAATGTGGTTCAGTCCATATAAAATTTGCATCCACCAAATGTACACGATTCAGATTCTTCAATTTTTTCAACAATAATGACATTAATTCACGTGATTCCAGTTCGGCAACTATCCATTGTCCCATTGCTTGTTGATAACGTTCACATTTTTTACAAAAATAAACAATCATTTCTTTCGGTATACCTTCGGTGATATCGATTTTTGAACGTAAACATGATATACATGTATTCGATGGATTTGGATCGATTAATGTTCCACATTCACAACAAAGTCTTTCAAAGATTGTATAAATGATGAAATTTAATGATTATCAAATTTTTTTAAAACCAAAAAGAAACTTACATTTTTGTTGGTGTTTCCTGATTCATCGGAATATATTCCATTGTTTTGTTTTCCTTGTTTTTGTTGATTTAATTAATATTTTTCTTTTCGGATGAAAAATTCTTGCTCAAATGAAACACGTGGAGCAAACAAACTAATCGAACGCCATCTACTGTCAATCACAGAAAGCTCATAATGATTCGAATTCGAATGAAATTGAAATAAAAAATGAAAATTTTGATAAAATTTTGTTTTGTTTTGCTTTTCATACCAAATGGCATCGACAAGTTTTTTTCAATTAAGTAATGAAAGTATGTATCATTGATAATGATGGTGATCAATTCATTTTCATTGTGTTTTTCGTAGATTTTTTCCTACATATTACATTGATAATAATCATAATAATGATCATTTTGGCAATCATTCGAGTGAGTACACAACAACGTTCTGAAAAAAGTGAAAATTCTAGCGAATCATTGTGGAATGTTGTACGAGAAACACGTCGTAGAAAAAAGAAAGGCTATCGACAACGATCGTTGAGGATTGATTCAGATGAAAACGAAGATAATAATGATCAAGAAAAATACGATTCACAACAAAACAAAACAATTTAACCGAAAATAAAAACTAACCGAACAATCAAAAGTATATTGTTCACTTCATCAATTCGCTACCAAATATAAAAATAACAACAACAAAAAATTAATTTTTTTATAACAAAAAAAAATTTTTATTTAAAATTTTTAATCAAATTATAATGATCAATATTTATAATTAAAATTATAATAATGTTAATAATAATAATAATAATAATAATCTTTATCAATTAAAAAAAACAGACGCAATTTATTTTTATGCCGGATATATATTGTTGCTGTCGAAATAGTTCGGGTTGTTGTTGTTGTTGTTGTCAAAATAGTTGTTTTGTTTACACATATCATTAGCACATTTCGATAAACATAAAGGTAGCAAATAATAATAAAAAAACAGAACAGAAAAAGAAATAAAAGATTCCTATATTTGTAGAAAAAAATGGTCGCTGCAACATTATGTAATGATTTCTTGTTGTGTGTGTGGGTGGATGGATGGATCGATGGGGGTGTTTGTCGTTAACGAACAAAATCAACTAAAATTATTAATTTTTTTAAAAAATAAACTCTTTTTCGTGTTTACATCAATATAATGAATTAATTAATTTAAAAAAGGTAGAAAAGTTTCCTGAAGTTTTTTGATTCAAAAATGATTTTTCCGAAAAGATTTTTCAACGTCTAACAACAAAAAAAACAAATCTAAAGTGGTGTGTGTCTGTGAATTATCAACAGCAAGAATTAGAAAAAAAAATTCAGATAGATTCGATTAGAATATGGTGTGAGATTTAGAAGAAAAAATCTAAACTAAAAAACAAAACTTTTTCGTTTGTTTTGTTTTGCCATTTTTAATGGATAAAAGTTGTAAAACAAGGACAAGGCCACAATTTAAAAAAAAATTTGATTGAAATTAAAGTTGTCTGTGTTTGCTTGTCTGTTTTGAAAATTAATTAATGAAGAAAAAAAAGTAAAATTAAAAAAAACTTGTTACAGCTTGTAAATTCTTTGTCTGTTTGTTTGTTTTTGTGTGTAAAAATTTTTCTAATTCGATAACATCCATAATTTAATTTTTTTTCGAAGGAAAAAGGGTTAACAACAACAACAATAATGCGCCTGATCATTAATATATAAATCTTGCCCAAAAGAAAAAAAAATAATGTATATTATTATTATTATTATTCAATAAACCTATAACTGTAATTTGCTAATAATCGAATCGATCAATCGAATCGATTTGTAATTAATAAAAAACAAAATCATTATTATTATTATTATTACATTATAATGATGAGAAGAATTTTTTAAATTTTTTTGTTTTTGATGAAGATTTTTCTCTCTCACTTATCTTGCTGTGTCTATCCAAATCTATGCTATGCTATCAATATCTATCGTCGTTGTGTAAAAAACATGATTTCAAAAAAAAGAATGAAAAAAAATTCAATGGATAAAAAGAGTTTTTTCTGTTTCTGTTTGTCTGTTTGTTTTTGAATCGAATCATAGAAAACAAAATGGAACGTCAAAGACATGTTATGTAAACAAACAAAAAAAAAAAGTTGGAAGTTTCTGATGATGATGATGATGATAAGCAAAAGTAACAAAAAAAAAACTAATGATGAGATTATCAGGTTGAAAAACAAAAATTCACCACCCACACACATGCTAATTGTTGTTGAAAAAAAGGAAGGATGTTTTTTTTTGTTTCTGTATGATGATTTCATCTGATAAACATATTCAGGAAGCAGGGAAGAAGCTCTTCATTTTTTTAATTATTTAAAATATTTCCGGCGGCCGAAGTTGTTTTTAATGCCTAAGAACCAAAAACAAAAACGTTTGAAAAAAATTTGAATTCAAATAAAGTGAATAATTACCTCTTCAATGCAGGATAAATCTTGTGATAATTTTTGTTTCAATTGTAATAATTGTGTTTGAGACATTGTTGAGAGATCTTGCAAACGTTTTTGGAATGAATTTGATTCATTTGTACGATATATTTCCAATTCTTTTTCTCTCATATTAAGCATTGATAAAGCTTCTTCACGTCGTTTTTCCGCCAATTTTTCACGTTTTTGTGCTTCGTTCAATTGTAAATGGCACCACTGTCCAAAAATCAAATGACAAAATTAATAACATTTTTTTTTTTTTTTTTGAAAAAAATCATCACCATTCAAGACATTACCTGTAAAACTTGTTGTATAGTTTCCTGTGATTCAACGATACGATTTTTCGCAGCATTATTTTCTTCTTTTAATCGCTGCATTTCCATAATTGCTGCTGATATTGCAACAACATTTGATTGTGATTGTTGTTGATTGGTTGTTGCATTCGTAGTACCATTAACATTATTTAAATTAGCTGCAACAGCATATTGATCAAATAATGATTGATGATTATTCGGTAATGATTGTTGTCGGCTAGCTAAAAATGTTGATCCAATTGGTGAAGCAGCAGCAGCAGCAGCAGCAATAGCTGCTGCAGCTGCCGCATTTAATTGTTGTTGTTGTTGTTGATGATTCGGAGGTGATAAATTAAAACCAGAAGCCGATGTTGAACGATGTTGATGTATATCATTATTATTATTATTAGTTATACGTGGTATATTAATAGGTTCAGATTCATTAAATGAATATGAACCACGTCTTAATGCCGATGATGATGATGTTGATGATGATGTTAAATGACAATTATCAATAGCATTAGCCGTTTTTGTAACAAAATTATCAAGCTCATCAAAACTGCTGAGATCATGATTATTTAACATTGAATCAAATGCAGTACTCGATTGTTGTTGTGGTTCATATAAAGAATTTGTTGAAAATGGTCCCGTAATATTACCACCACCACCGCCATTCTGTAAAACAGGTTGTTGTTCTGTAACAACATTTGATCCTGAAAATAAAGATGAACAAGATGATGCTGTTGAAAATAATGATTGCTGCTGCTGTTGCTGTTGTTGTTGAACATTTTTATTCATTAAAGCAGCAGCAGCTTTTTGATGTTGTAAAAGACTATTTTTACTATCCAACCAATTTGCCAATAATGATGATGATGATGATGTTTTTGTTGTATTCGATGTTGAAAATGATCTTGGACGTGCAATTGGTCCAAGAATATTATTCTGATTCTGTTGAGAATTATTATTATTATTGGCTTGAAGTTCATTTTGAGCCTATTAGAAAAATATTCAATTTAAATAATGTTTAGAAAATTCAAGCGAAATTACCATTTGACGTAGTTGTTGTTGTTGAGCATTCAAATCATAACCACCAAATTCAACATGTTCAGGTAATGATGATGCAATTATCATTGATGAATTATTTACTGCTGCTGCTGATGTTGCTGATGCTGTTATTGATGATGATGATGATGATGAACCACGACTATAAGAATTAGCACGGACAATTTCCATTGGTGATGTATTATTATTATTTTGATTATGATGATGATGTGATTGATGATGTTGTTGTTGGCTATGTGGATGATGATTATGTTGATGATTTATATTTGATTTACATGTTTGTGTTGTTGTTGTTGTCGATGTTGTTGTTGTTGTTGCTGTTGATCCTATCGTATTATTATTATTAGATGGTGGTGGCAGTTCTGTATTCGGATTTGTTGCAAATTCTTTGGCCATATTAATTTCATCTATGGGAAAAAAACAAAGATTCATTTATTGCCAGAATATCTAATATCTAATAAAACAAAATTTACCAGAATTTTCTGAATGTGCAAATGCACAGAATGGACCACGTGGACAATGTCCAGATTGTTGTATATCATTACATTTTGTACTTTTATAAATTTCTGGATGAAATTGTTGTTCAGTACGTGTATGACAATAAATACAATCATCTTGATTTTCACAATTATTTGGATCACCCCATTCATCACCTTGTTTCACTGATGGACATGGTGTTGAACGATATTTAAATTTTTTTGGTGATCGACGACGATCTTTATTATTATGATATTGTGGACATGCATAGCTAGGAAATTTTTTTAAATTTTTGAATAAAAATAAAAAAATAAATGTTTTTAAAAATTAATTAATTAGATAATTACAAAAAATATTTTTATCATTATCCATCCTAATTTATAATTTTTTCCAATTACAAATATTTTTTTTTTTAAATAAAAATTCCAGACAAATTTCCAAAGAAAACATAAAAATTTTCTAGAAAATTTCCCAAATTAAAATCCAATCAAAAATATCTTAGAAATTTAAATTTTTCTTTCCCGTTTCGTTTGTTTTTTTTGGACAATTTTCAAATTCCTAAAAGTCACGAACACCACCACCACCATCACCATTATCAATTCAATTCAAGGACACAACCATAATCATCACTAACACAAAACATAAACAAAAATACAGACACTAAACTGCTGCTATATATGTTTATCGATATGATGATTCGCTATATATAAATCACCGAAACGATGTTTTGTTTCAAAAAACAAATCTGGCCATCATTTTTCAGGGTTATTTGGTTACCAATGCTTAAAAATGATGAAGGGTAGTGGTGGAATGACCATGACCTTCATCATTACGTAATTTTTGTTATTATTATCGAATAAAAAATAACACAATTTAATGGTTGAAGGTCACTAGCGGTACCAAATCATTCAAAAAAAAGTAAGTAAAAGTAAAACCAAAATATTCATTTCAATGATTCGAATCGAATGTTTCCTTTGGGTTTTCTATTTCTACATTTTTTGACTATCCTGTGTGTGCTGTCATATGATATCATCATCCTATATATATAATTCGAGCGTTCGATACCCTCTGCATCTTTTTCTCATTTGGTTTTGTTGTTTTTTTTTCGGTACAAACAGAAAAAAAACCCAGCTAAAATTGTTTTCAAACCAAAAAAAAAAACTGCTATTCTTGAATTCAACGAAAAAAAATATTGCACAGAATTTTCTTCATTTTTTTTTTTTTTTGATTATCGATTCAATTTTCAAATCAAGAAAAAAAAATTCAAGGTCAAAAATACGCATGCGTAATGCGAATTTTTATTTTAAAGAATTCATCATTCGATTCGATTGTTTTGTTGTTGATGTTGATGATATAACAAACAAATTTGAACAAATTTAGACAACAACAAACAAGAAAAAACAACATTGAAGCCAATCATCAACATCAAAATAGAAATAATAATAAAAAACTAAACTAAACATAACAAACAAACCAAACCAAACCAAACCAAAGCAAAACAACATAATTATCAACATAATGTCATATGATAATCATTTTTAAGTTGTTGTTGTTATTTTGGTTTTGGTTAAACACAATATTGACGCCCAAAAAAAACAAAATCAAAAACAACAACTTAAAATAAAATGATGATGATCTGTATCTGTATCTGAAATTCATTGATTTTTTCTTTCATACATACACCCAATGAATAAATTGAATGCTACACAAGAAGCAAAAAGGATTTAAGATTGAATTTCACAACCAATCAACCAAAGTAACTAACTAACTAAAACACACACACCATATGTATTTAGTAGAAAAAAATAAACAGAAAATCATCATCATAAGATTTCAATTGAAAAGAAGAAAAAGAAATTTCTGTTTTTCGTCTTGTTTTTTTTGTTTGTTTGGATGTAAAGAATCAGAAAAAAAAACAAAAAACCAAATACACACATGTGGGTGGATTGGATTGAAATGAAATTCAAGGACAATCGAAAAAAAAACTGAAAAAAATTTTCTCAAAACAAAATCCTTTTTGAAAACCAAAAAAAATGTTTTTTTTCGGCTGTTTTACAAGACAGATTTTTTTCGCATTTCAATCTTATTATGATGATGGTGATGGTGAATGACCCATATAACAAAAAAATTATGAAAACATCCCAGAAAAAAAACATCATCATCATCCTGCCTGGTGTAGGTGTTTGTGTGGAAAGAAAAATTGGCCAAATTTAATAAAGATGGTGTGGAAATATATTTCAATCAAATTTAATGATAGGTTTGGTTTTCGAGAAAAAAAAGATTGAAACATGCAAAATGCAAATTGTCTATTCATTTCATTTCAAATCTTGGCCAACTAAACATATTTTTAGCTTGCAAATCATCATCGATATGACCATTTCTGGATCGATCAACATCAAACAACAACCTATATTCAAAATTCTGACTAAAATTGCCCCATAAAAATCTAAATGACCATTTGTGCAGTCAAGGGTTAATAATAAAGAGCGATTTCCAAAGGTAAAAATGAAACCAAATCAAACCAACTTACCCTTGTCGACAAACACGTGGTGGTCTTTTACATGATTCCGTTTTATAATAAGCCAATACAAATGCTGTATTTTGCCAACGTGGATCTTCATGTATTGCATTACGATCTTTATCAAACATATGTTGTGTTGATGATGATGATGTTGTTGTTGTTGATGATGTTTGACAACAATTAACACCGGTACATCCATTCATTAAATGATCACCATTATTAATTAAATCATTTTGATTAACACCATTAATACCAACACCATTATCACAATGAATATTGCCTATACCGTTATTTGAATTAGTACCGGTTTGTTGTTGTTGTTGTTGTTCACGTATATCAAATACAGCCATACGTAAATCATGTGATCCATGTGCAAATGCACAATGTGCACCATTTTTAACACAATAACCACGTTCATCTGTTTCATAAACACACATACCAGTTTTATAATAACGTAAATGATAACGACGTTCAGTATCACCGGCTGTACGATGTAAACAAGGACAACTAAATTGAAGAAAAAACATTGTTAAATTTTAATCCGATTTTTTGAGAAGAAAAAAAATAGCTGTAAAAAAAATAGTCCAGATAAACATTATAGCAGATGGTTTATTAGTGTATATTCAAGGAAAACAAAATGATTCAATCAATGAAAAACTGATTCAACCCGATCATTAAACTAAAACGATATTTTTTTATTATTATTATTTCAGCTGTTTATTAGTCCTTTATCGTTCCAGAATGTTTGCTAATAGAAATTTTTAAACAAAAAACACCTGGTTACTCCTCTCTATTATACACAAAACTAGACTAAAATCAATTACAATCCAATTATGAAGAAAAATCAGGTTAACAAAAAGTGTTTAATTGAAAAATAAAAACCAAAAAAAATTTTTAAACTACTGGACAGATGTTTGCTGAGAACATTCCAAAATAATTATCAAAAAAAAAAAAAAATGCAAATCACATTCCCATCGACATAAGATTTTTCATTTTTGATAATGATGGGAAAATAATAACAATCAAAAATAAAAAAATAAGGCAACCAAACGAAAACTAAATCGACAAACCAATCTAATCATCTCATATGGTCGAAATAGTTTTTTTTTTGATCAAAATAGAAAAAAAATTACCGGACAGTAAACAGGATGGAAAAAATAATATTTGTCCGAATTGTCCCAGTTTTTTTCACTGAGTGAATTGGATGAATAAAAACAAAAAAAAAATTACATTTTCTCTACCGCGGAGAATATAGACCACATTGTGAATAATCATATCGGTTTTTTGCTTGAAAAACATTAAAAAAACATCCGGAATGAAAGTTTTTTACGTAAAAGAGAAAGCAAGGATATCTTGTTTGTTTAATTTTTTCTTAGCAAATCAGTTTCTCTCTGTTTCTCAATCCAGAAAAACACACAGGTAAAATGAATTGACAATTCATTCACCTGAAGTGTGTGTGTTGAAATATATGTTAGACATACAAAAAAGGAGAAATTCAATGAGAAAAGTTCAATAAACTAGGCTAAACAACGGTTTCTTGAATTGGTATTTTGATAATCAACATCAAGCAAAGAAAAATATCTAATAGGAAATTATTTCCGGAAAATTTCTCTATGCTATTTTTACACCCAAACACAAGGGTATAGATTCCTGATTTTTTTTCCAATATTTGATGCTATTAATGTCAATTTAGAAAAAAAATAAACAAAATCCGGAAGCCTTGAAGCTATATTTTAATCAAAAAATAAAACTCTAATCTAAGAAATGTTCCAAGGAAAAATCTTTCTGGAAATTTTCTTTTCAAGAAAATGTCATTGGAGCATATCGAGCATATGACGAAAATGAAACTGGACAATTAAGATTTTTGATTTAAAAAAAAAATAACACTTACTCATCACCATCAGGACAAATACCGGTTGTATCATCATATTTAGTACAATAATTATCCGGTGAATAATTAAATGTACCATCACGTTTACGTAATGGTCGTCGTCTACGTTGATTAGCAAAATGCCAATGAAAACAAGTAAATGGTTTATGTTGTGTACATTTATGTTGTAAAAATAATGGACATTGTTCACAACGAAAATCACGTAAATAACTAAAAATTTAAAAACAAAAAAAAAAAACAAAATTAAACATTAAATAATCATTATAAATTAAAAAATTTCAAACAAAACTCAATCAGCATCCTTTCCTTTTCCTGATTCCTCCCAAACACTTATATTACACACATTGAATAAAAATCAACGAAGAAGAGTCAAACCAGTTCCATAAATAACGTAAACATTGGACATCGACAAACATCATCAAACATGAACGATAACCCCCTCCCCCCGCAAAATCAATACTCACTTATAATGTGACAGTTTTTCTGTTGTTGTTGTTGATAAAGACATCATCATCATTTTACCACTATTTGATGATAAACGATTTCGTTGTTGTTGTTGCTGTTGATGATGATGATAATTATGATTATCATAAAAATTACCATTCATTATCGAATCAATTGATGATAATGTTGATTTTGTCTTTGGTGGTGACAATGATCCATGATTTATAATCGGTGAATTTCGACTTGATGTCGAAGATGCAGATGATGACGACGAAGACGAAGATGATGATTGATGAATAGCGGTTGTCATCTTTGATGAATTATTCCGATGGCTATTGATCATACCAAAAGTCATTGTTTGATGATTATGATGATTACGTGTTAAACTACCACCACCGCCACCACCATATTGATGATGATGATGATGGTGTGAAGTGTTAACAGCAGCCGAAGCCGAAACAGTGGTCATCATGATTGATTAAAATTAAAAAAATTCAATCAACATTAACATCATTTTAACCCCGAGAAACACCATTCATAATTCTGGATTGTTTTCAAAAAAACCGTTTCAAATTTCTTCAAAAACATTATCAAACTTTTGCAAATACACTGCCAACAATCATCACAACAACAACAACAACTGATCTATAAAAACTGTGCCCACCATCATTCAGCAAATTAAAAAAAAAACAAACACTTTCTGTCGACTGTTTTTTTTATTTTGTTGCCAAAACAACCGAATGAAAAAAAATCAAAGAGAAAATTTTGATTCAGCAAAAAAAAAGAAGAAAATAAGGAGCGAGAGAGAAAAATCCAAAAGAACAGGAGATACAGAAAGAGTAAAATAAATAAAAATTGATGAAAAAAAAGTTTCCAGAGAAATTTCCCAGGAAATTATTCTTGTTATTATTCAAAACTTTCATACAGGAAAAGGAACAAACATCTCATCTCTCTCTTTAAATTTTTTCCAAATTTAAAAATCCAAAAAAAACCAAACTTACCGTGCATTCATTGAATATTTTTCATTTGATAATGTTATATCCGAAGGATCATATAAATCTGAATCATATTTATAAATTTTTCCATCAATTTCAATCTGTGTTAATTGTTTTTTTGGTTGTTGATCATTAATAATGGTGGTAGTAGTAGCCATTGCTGTCGATATAGTTGTTGTTAATGATGATTGTTGTTGTGATGGTGATAATAATTGTAATGGTGCTGTTGAATTATCATCTTCTGGTTCATTTAAACCTTTATGTTGTAAGGCACCAATTTCATCAAATACAATATTTAAATCATAATCATCATCATCGGTTGTTTTATTATTTATTAATCTTAATTGTCCATTAATTGTTGTTCCGGTAGTTGTGGTTGTTGATGTAGATATAGTCGATGTTGTTGTTGATGATGATGATGATGCTAACGCTGTTGGTGATGATAATGATGATGTTGATGTTGTTGATGATGTGAATCCATTCATATTACTATTATTATTAAACATTTGATCACAGTCTTGTTGTTGTTGTAAAAATGAATTTCTATTCATTAATGACATCATACGTGATCCAGTTGATAATTTCGTTGATGCTGCTGATGATAATCCAGTTGATAATAAATTCTCTGGACTTATTATTGTCATTAAATCTAAATGTGAATATTGTTGTTGTTGTTGTTCAACATTTGACCATGATGGTCCATATAAATTATTCAATTGCTGCTGCTGCTGTTGACGGTTATATAATGTCGACGATGATGGATTCATTAATTGATTACGACGTATTGCTGATGCATCAGACATTGAACGAAATATCATTGGTGAAAATTCATAATTATTATTCATATTTAATTGATTCAATTGTTGTTGCTGCTGTTGACCACTAATGGAATCCGAAATCGCAGATGAATTTGCTACAGCAGATGCTGCTGCTGCTGTGGATGATGATGTTTGTATCATATTCATTGCGTTATTACTATTGCCAAATGAAATTGATGCGGATTGTTCTTTATTATTATTATGAATGTTTGTAGCGATCGTCGTTGTTGCGGTTGCTATTTCTAAATTCATTGAAGACATTTTTTTTTCTTAAAAAAAATTCACATTTTTGGCAGCGAAAAATGATGATGATCTTTGGTTGGTGGAAATAGGAAAAAACAAAACACCGGGTCACCAAACAAACAAGATTTGAAATTTTTTTTTGTGAATTTTCAAATTGCTTGCACAAACATTCATTCACCGGATGAAACGAAAATGAAAACGAGAGAAAATTTATTACGAAAGACACCCTGTTTTTTCAGAAAAAAAGTAAGAAAAAAATTTTGTTTTAAAAAATTTGAAATAATCAACAGGAAAATAGCAAGGTTAACCTAATCTATTCAGTGAATCAATAAGAGAGAATTCAATCAATCAATCAATCAAACCAAAAAACATTATGAGATTTTAAATCAGGAAAAAAAAAATCTGATTTTGTTGTTGTTGTCGGCGTGTTTTGGACAATCAACAACATTTTGATGAAAAAATAAACAATTTTTTCTTGCGATTGTTATCAACACACACACATCACCTTGACGATTTTTTAAAATAATTTTCTCATATAAACAACAACAACAAAGATTTTCTCGGGATAAAAATAGCATCAAAAATTCTTTTTTCACTGATTCCAAAACAATCAATTTGTTGTTGTTGTTGTTTTTCATCAGGAAAACAAAATGACACGTGTCACATTTTAAAATGATGCTAAACAACAACAACAACAGGTTATCATTTGATTTAACACCCCCTATTTCTAACAACAAAAAACAGACCTTAACCCTTTTTATTGTCAAATTATCAATCGAAAATCAATTGATTTCAATAGATTTCCTCATCATTTAAAGTTTAAAAATAAGTTTTCATTATTAGTTTTTTCTTCTTAAAATACAAAGATTGCACTAAACAACAACAAAACATCCCCATATAAATAAGCCATGTTGTTGTTGTTGTTGTTTAACCTTCAAAATAAAAATTATAGAAAAAACTTTCTCAATTCTTGTCATTTTTTCTCCAATAGATGATGATGTAAATATGTTTGGATGCTACGTGTTTTTCCTCTCCTGTCTCTCTCTCTCTCTCTCTCTCTCTCTCGCCATACATTCTCACACACACTTGTTATTTTTTTTATAATCATTTTTGTTATTGGAGAAACTTTTCGAGCAAAAAAATAGCCAAAAAAAAAAGAAATAAATGTTGATGAGAAAGTTTCCTCGAAATGTCCATTTTCAATCAATAATTTTTCCTTGACATAATCATCATCATAAAACATTATTTTAACTTACTTTGTTCGAAGACACACACAAAAAAACAAAAACAAACGAACGAACGAACGACCAATCAAACAAATATCGATCGATTAGGGCAGCTCTGATGATGATGATGATTATTGATGGCAGAAAATTAATGAAAAATCAAATTTCTCTATGGCTACCTCACCATTGTGATGTGATTTTTTTTACACAAATGTTATTCATTGAAAACAACAACAAGAAATGGATATTTTGTGTGGTTGCCTTGGTGTCCAAATTTTTTTTTCCTATCAATTTATCAATTTTACCCAAAAAAAAATTCCCTTTAAACACAAACATCACTATAAATGATAAGACACACACTTGCAGCCAATCTTATCCATTTAATCGATGATCAATCAATCAATCGATGAAAATAAAATGATTATGGATTTTTAAAAAAAAGAAACCAAAACAAAACAATTAAATCTTGGATGTTAGTTGATGTAAATGTGGATAATGATTATGATGATTTCTTTCTTCATAAATGGAAGAAACGAACAGAATCAAAAATAGAAATCGAAAAAAATCAAAACATTTCACACCCACCAACATAAAATCATATCAAATTATCAGATCAAGCAAAACAAAACAAAAAAAAACATCTTTTCAAATGTTTATCACTGAAACAGAATATATATCGTTCATGAACAAAAACAAACAAACAAACCAAAAATAATATTCTGGGCCCAAAAAATTAATATATTTTCTGTACTTTGCAAACATGGATTCCAGCAATAATAAAGAAAAACACGCACACAAAAATATCATTGGAAGATAATAAATGTTGTTGTTGTTGTTGTTGTTTGTCGAAAATTGAGAAAAACGAAAGAAAAAAAAACATGTATCAAGCACCAAAAACAGCAGCGACAAAAACAAAAACAACAACGAAGACATCCAAAAAAAAAAAAAAAAAATGTTGGCGTGCTTGGGTAGTGGTAAAATCTGTGGTATTTTTTTTTTTTTAAATAAACACATACACACAGAGTAGCAGCAAAAAAAGATGAATCAAAATTTTTAATTACCACTACTTTTAGCCCAGTGCATTTATATAATGTGTGTTTGTGTTTGTTGGCTGGTTTCAAGTACATCCAAAGACAATCAAAAAAAAAAAAAAAAAAAAGGATCGAAAAACAGAAAAAAAAAATTCATCATCACCATAT